AATCTTTTTTTTTAAAAAGGCTTAGTGGCTACCTTTTTTTTGTAACATTTACAATGAGCAATACATTTGTTAGTTCATGTTATCTTAGGTCCATTCAATAATTTTACAGAAACTACTTTTGATTTCAATAATGTAGCATATTAGTAAATGCTGAATTTAACATTAACAAAGATTAATAAGTGCTTTAGCTATTTATCATTGTTAGTTCATGTTATCTAATGTAGTTAATAAATGAAACCTTACTTTAAAGTGTTACAACTCTCAACTCAATCCGTCTTTGTTGCCACATAATAACTACTGTACCTTTAACTGTTGAAGCCACTATTTCCAAATCTCCAACTTGTAATTATGAGCTTGACAAAGATGTGATGGTTTTTACTAGTCGGAAACTCATAATTATAGTAATTCTGACTATGGATGCAGCAAAAATGCACAAATTGGGTAAAACTAGGAACGTACAAATAATCATTCCAGGACAGGGGGGAAAAAAAGAATAAAACAACAAAGTCATACTTAAGGGGAGCATAATCATGTGACAGACCTATAATAGAGCTTGAATTGCACACTGAAACACGATGACGCCGGACCACCACCTCCTAAATGACTGCCTGAACTTGCATCCCTGGAAAACTCCCACCACAAATGTGTTCTGGCTCCGCCCACACCTGAAGCCACGCCCCCAGCAGCAGCACTTTCACCAACTCTCACCTGACCGAACGCCGCTTTTAACAACCGTCCCAGTGAGTCCGTTCATCCCGTCTACAGCTGGAATTTCTAACAATGGAAAGAGCAGCGCAGTTGCTGAGCGCTCATGCATGCCTTTACACGAGTTTGTCATTCTTCAGAGAGAAATGCATCATTTGTGGCTTAGCCGCACCATTAGGATTGTCTTGGTACTTTTAGTTGTAGAGAATCATATTTATTTGAGAAACCTCGTCAAATGTTTGCTCATGTACAGTAGAATCATTTTGTGAAACTTTTTAAAGAAAAAGATTTTATTGTTCAGATGTTGCAAGTCTGAATTTCATCTCCTTGAAGAAATACAAACAGACAGAAACGAGTCGAAAGCTGACAACAATTTTCATTTTTAGGTGAACTAACCCTTTAAGATCTCTGAAATCTTAATCTTAAAATAGTGTAGGCTATATTCATTATATGTTGCTTCAGTTTGTGTAAATGGTGATGAATATTTTGTTTAATTTTGCATGTTTTCATCAACTAACATGTTATTTCAATTGGCTAAAATGAATTATTATGTCATGATTTATCTGATATTTCAATCCAAAAAATAATAAAACAAATAGTCTAAAGGGGGACTTTTGAGAAGAAAGAAACTTCTCTTAATTGAATCTCTTTGCAGCTGAGATATTAAAGAGATTTCACTTTCATACATTCACATTTTTGTATCATAATCCTTATTGAGAGGGTAAAGTGTGTGGTTTCTGAGACAAAGCATTCCAGAGTGTCAGTCGTGCTCTGAGTACTCATAGCCTGCGGAGTTAGAAACCGAAACACAGCCTCGGCTTCTTCCACAGTCTGCTCCGGACATGCAAACACTTGTACCATACTTGCACTTGGGTCACAGGTCACATACGCTCACACCCGGGTCAGAAATGAACTGGGACTTGAGGGTGAGAAGTCCACCATAAGTGATAAAATGCTCCAGGTATCCTCTTTTACTCTCACTCAAATTATTGCTTTGTTAGGCTTACTTTATTAGAACATACTTATTGTTTGGGGTCAGTATGATGTTTTTCTTTTGAAAGAACGTGGTTGCTCTTTATTTTACAGTACATGTGCAGGGTACTTACCCACAAAAGTACTGGTAATGTAAGGTGATTACATGGGTTAGGTTTGGGAGGTTCAGGGTTATGTTATAACCCAATTACCTTACATTACCAGTACTTTTGTGGGTAAGTAGTACACTGTAAGCACATTAAAAGTGCACATACTGTAAAATAAAGTGCAAGCTAGAAATTAACACTTTCATCCAGCGAGGACGCATTAAATTGATCAAAAGTGACAGAACATTTCTCTTTTAAATGAATGCTGTTCTTTCTAATCATCTAAATAATCCTGAAATAAAAATGCATGACGGTTAAAAATATTAAGCAGCACACCTGTTTTCAACCTTGATAATAATAAGAAATGTTTGTTGAGCAGCAAATCAGAATGATTTCGGAAGCATCACGTGACACTGAAGTCTGGAGCAATGATGCTGAAAATTCAGCTTTGCATCACAGATATAAATTACAATTGAACATTTTCATATAGAAAATAGTTATTTTAAATTATAATAATATTTCAAAATATTATTATCAAATAAATGCAGCCTTGCTGAGCATAAGAGTCTTATCGACTCCAAATTTTGAAAGGGTAAAATATATACCAGATTTACCAGATTGGGGACAATCTCGCTTCACGTTGTCGTCGTATATTAGTCGAGTGCAACACCCTGATGACCAGGACGGTCATCAGGGTGTTATAATAGTCATAAACAAAGCTCCTGAAGAAAAGACTATCTGAGGTCAGGCCCTCTGATCACCATGACAGCCACCGTAGCATCCCGTGGTATGCCTGAAGAAAGACTAAAAACTTGTAAAACTAACTCCACCCATATTCCCCTTTGTTTGCCCCGTCTCATATATCTTAAGTCTGTCATGTAGCATAAAACCCCACACTGGAGTCCTAAATCAAGAATAGTTTTCAGAACATTAAAGGGATAGTTCACCCGAAAATGAAAATTCGGACATCATTTACTCACCCTCGAGTTGTTTCAAACCTGTATGAGTTTCTTTGATTTGATGAACACAAAAGAAGATATTTTGAAGAATGGGAACTAAACACTTGATGGTAGCCATTGACTTCTTCCATAGTATATATATTTTTTTTCCTACTATGGAAGTCAACGGGGTCCATCAACTGTCTGGTTATATCTTCCTTTGTGTTCAACAGAACAATGAAACTCATACAGGTTTGAAACAATATGATGGTGAGTAAATGATGACAGCGTTTTCATTTTGAAGTGAACTATTCCTTTAAGGGAATAGTTATGCAAGTATTTGTACATATTCATGTCTTTTAAAATTCGTATGATGTTATCTTTTGCTCGGGTCAAAAAAAAAAAAAGCATCATAAAAATAATCCATATGATTTGTACTTGTTCCAAGTGTTATAGCTTTTTGTTTGCAGATCAGTGTTCTGCAATTCTCCTTTTGTGTTCCTTGGAAGAAGAAAAAACAGCATATGGGTTTGGATGAGTAAATAACGATATTCTTGGATCAATTCTTCCTTTAATGATCTGAATATGTGGACTTTTGAAAAAAATAATAATTGGAAAGCATGAGATGCATTATCTACTTATTGTAGTACACTTTAAAGCTCACAAAAAGTACTAAAAGTGGTCTAGATGCAATTCTACTAAAGAGTTTGGTGGGCTCTCCTCCCCTTCAAAGTGGGAGTGACAGTCCCAGACGCAGCCCGAGGAAGCCTTCTACTTCTGCTCACTCGGGCAGAACTGCTCTTCACTTCAGAGTCTTCTTCACTCGCTCACACACACACACACACACACACACACACACGTCACCTGAGGAACGCTGAGCTGCACACCTGGGCTGCTTGCTTGTGGCAAGAGGTGAGTCACTGCCGTACATTCAATAAATGACTACAAATGATGGTTAACTTTTCAACATCTAATAAAAATATGAACGTTTCTTTTATTGCCGTCTTTGCATTTTTTGCTGGGTAATAAAATCTCCCTGGAAGGTAATATTGTACAGTACATTTCAAGCAGGTTTGTATGTAAGATAATATCATTGTGCATTAGAGATTTAATTTGTTCTTGGAAATTGTTTGCGTATAGGTTTATGTTTGAGGAGATAAGAAAAGGTATTTTTCATTAAGAGATTTTTTTGTAATTTGCATAAAGGGTTTTTATAATGTATTAAGTGAAAAAAACAATCACTGTAAAATTAGGCAGAGCAAGAAAGACTTCTATGATCTGTTAGTCTATAAATACTGTAATATGTAGTCAGTGCTGGGTAGATCACTTATAAAATGTAGTCGGTTACTGATTCCAAATTACATGACAAAAATTGTAGTTAGTAACGTAATCCATTACATTTACACATTTAAGGTAATATAATCGGACTATTTTTTGATTACTTTTGACCTAACTCGTTTATAACATTGATTTGAATAGAATAGTCTTGTACCATATTGATATAGAAATACAAAGAGAAAGAAAATATATTCCATTTTTTGTTATCAACAACATGAAGTGCATGAAATGTTACATTACGTCAGAGTTTCCCAGACTGGGGTTCGTGATTCAGATTCATTCTTTATTGTCCTCGATAGTGGAAATTTGTTTTCACAGACTGTACCAGGAGCAACATTCAACACGCATACCAAACAGAATACTCATATTTTGTACACATAAATAGACATATTGCAAAAAAATGTACATTAAATAAATTACAAGTTCCTGAAGTTTAATGAAAAGCTAATAATCAAATCATTAAAATTAAAAAAAAAAAAAATTTTTAATTAAAAACAGTTAAAATAAAACATTTACTTAAAAAAAGATGTTTATTTGTTTTCCTGCATGCCATATGACCATTTACCGACATCAGAGAACTGTGAACTTAATTTTATTATTGGCCTTACTTAAGAACTTAAAATCTACAGACTCTATCAGGTCAAAGAGGTTCAACTGACAAACAAGTAGGGTAATCTCTGCATTGCATGTAAATATGAAATGAATTTGTACATTTTCATGTGTTTGAAAGACAAAACTAAGTGATCATTCAAATAATAATTGATGTGTTCGTCAGGAGTTGATATGCACACTATTGTGTATTGTGGTAATAAGAAATTAGCTGGAAACTGTCCTCATAATAATATCATAATGCGGTAACATTTAATGCTATATTCTCTTCATGCTAACTATAATATTCTTATTTCTATGTTTTTGACAAGGTTATAATTATATACACATGTTATTGTTATGTTTGCAGGAGTGGCAGTCATGGCTCACACATTGAGCTGGTCCCTGTTGTGTTTTGGTTTGCTGAGCGTCTGGGCTCAGGACTTCTATGAGGAACGGACCGGGCCAACAAGAGTCAAGACCGGAGGACAGACGGCGGGCAAACTGCAAAAACATGATGGTCAATGTGAGGCAGTGTGTTGTGTGACAGTATGCAATGCATTGTTTTTTTGTCTGACAAGTTTTTTTATTCATTTTTGCTTTTTAGCATGCATGACATGATAGAACGCATTACTGAATACACTGGCTATTTTTGGAGGATAAAAGTAATTAATATATTGTCTATTGTAGAGTTTTTGGTTTTAAAAACCCATTCATGATGAAATCAAGTTCCGCCCTACATGTTTACTCATTGAATAATCCTAATTCACTCGGAAAAATACAGTATGTCACTTAAAGGGATAGTTCACTTTGAAATAAATTTTTGATATGTTTTAGCTTACCTCAAGGGCATCCAAGATGTAGGTGTCTTTGTTTCCGCAGTAGTTTCAATTTTGATATTTTTAGGTCAAACCGTTCTTGTCTGTCAGTCATATAATGCAGGTCTATGGTCACCACCTCAAAGAGCATGCACAGAGAAGCCCAAATTAAACATGATTTAATGACTCGTAAATGTAAGTACACATTGATGGCCTAAGACACGAAACGAGCGGTTTGTGTGAGAAAACGAACAGTATTTATATCGTTTTTATCTCGTACAGTATTTATCTCGTACATTTCATTTGTGCAGAGAGTCTGGTCTCACTCCATTGACATGAGTTAACTTCCTTGAAGGCGGGTACTCTGTTGAAGTTTAAAACTATTGGATCTGCCATAACCAATCGCTGACGTTTGGTCGTGACGTATGACGACTCAAACCACTCAAACTCGCGTACAACGTCAACGTCATCGTTGTCAGCCACTCCCTCTGTTCGCTGATTGGACCGGTAAAAAATTGACCGGAGAAAACCAAAGAACACACCACAATCCCAGACGTATACTGAAGAAAAATGAAAATTGAGCGGAAGTACGTTGGAGGGCGGAGCCAGGCTAGTCAAACATCACCTTACCCAGTATACCCAGGATTAATGTTTAACTTCGGGTAAATTATGAGCAGTGTAAAACGTGAAGCAAGATAACCCAGGATTACGTTTTTACCTGGATTTTCAAATGATCCAGGGTTGATCCACTTTTTTTGATGGTCTCCCTTAAACATTCTGTTGACTATAAGTAACGTTGCACCTATGTCAAGTAACTTTCATTAGAGTATTAGTAGACTGTCTACTTAGTATCTGCTAACTCTTTATTTTCATGGTTCCCCAACAGACTTTCTACTGACTATCTTAAGTCAACTTATTCTAAGGCTAACCCCACCAATCTACTAATATTCTACTAACACTCTAATGAGAGTTGACATGTGCAATGTATAGTCAACATAATGTGTAAAAGGGACCATCATAATAAAGTGTAACAACTATTTCAAGTGTGAAAAGCCATAAACTTGTACAGTGTAAAACGATGTGGTGTAAGAATGTTATGGTTAGGTGCTAAGCAACCAACAGCCAATCACGTGCCTCAAACTTTCGTGCTTTGGACACTCACGGAAACATTGTGGGTTCAGCTTTGAGGAGAAAATGTAAAATGGTGACAGAAAACGTGACAATTAGAATGAAGACAGACTTACATGTATAGATAAAGGATAAACTAATAATACAACACATTATGAGGATGCGCAATGCTAGGGCCTTTATGTAAACATACAGCGTGTGACATTGACACCGTGAATATGTAATTAAGGATGTTAACCCAGGGTTTAGGAATGTTAAATAACAAGAAGTTAAGTATGTAACTTACATTTAAGACACATATTGTCTGTTTTTGATGAAAATCGTTCCAAACGAAGCCACATCAGAACCGTTGCGTTTCAATCCTGAAAGAATCAACGTTTCAGAACGAATTGATTTGAATGAATGATTCAATGACTCACTCATTAAGACTTCTTATGTAAATGCGAACTCATGGGTCACCGTCAGTGCATCTCATGGCGTCTAAGACACATAAAGCTAGTTTTACGCCTTAAAACATGCAATGTCATGTTAAGACATACTAGACATACTACAGCAGCATATCTAAAGACCATCTTTCTTAGAGGATGTCTGGTCGTAGTGATTTTGGAGGCCTCGGGCGTTATCCTTCACAGTTTCCTAACACAAACATGATTTATCGTTCATATCTGCACAAGACCTGGTAGGCCATGTCTTGTCACCGGTGACATGAAGACTGATGAGCTGCTGTGCTGAAAGTGAGATCAGATGACAGACTGCATTGCTTATTGAGTATAAATAGGATTATTAGAAGACTTAAGAGGATTATTGGTGTGTTTTAAAACAATATTGACAATATCTAACAATTTAGTGACACAAGGCAGCAGTGTAAGTTCTGAAATAATTATGTAACATCAAAAAAGTGTAGATGAATTTCATCCTCTGTGCAAAAAGCCAGATAGATTGCAGGGTTGAGCACTATTCAGAATTGAATTTGCCTTTTAAATTCCACTTTTTTATTTATTTTATTTTTTTACTTGTTTTGGTGTCAGTACTTTTTAATACATATTTAAAAAACTTTATGCATTATGCATATTATCATATGCACAACATCAGGTATTTCCAGAAATATATGTACATATGCATGTATGTGTGTATATATATATAGTATATACTGTATATATTTCTGGAAATACCTGATGTTTTGTATATGATAATATGCATAATGCATAAAGATTTATTTTTTGTTCTCTGAGCCTCTCCACTGTTTGAGGGTAACTTTTTTAAAGATAACTTTATAAAATACACACGCACACACAAATATATATAATTTGTGTCTGTGTGTGTATTTTATAAAGTTATCTGAAAAAATGTGTTGGATGTTTTGTTGTGCTATATGGATCAAATTTGTATGGCCAATCGCTGTGTTAATTGATGATGATATTAAACTAAGTTCTGAGAAATATGTTAAATCATATTAGGAAATACTGTAAATAGGCATAATTAGGCAACAATGATTGATGTATTAATTTATGTTTTGTCACAAAACATATATGGTGGACTTTGTTCTGCGAGTGTTGGATTTCAACTCTATTTCAACTCAGTAAATTTCTCGTTTCAATCAAAATAAAAGCAAGTCGATTCTTAAATTCAGAATTTACCCAACTGTATAATAGATGATCTAATCTTTCCGTAACACATCATCTCTTGCTGTGACGTCAGCTATCCTGGATGAGGACTGCAGTCTGGAGTTGGGCTTTCTACTGGACAGCTCTGAGACGGCCAAGGACAACCACCAGCAAGAGAAAAAGTTCACTATGGACATTATAGAAGGCCTCCAGAGCATCCGCTTGGATACAGGCCGCAAACTCAGCTGGAGAGCGGCCCTGCTTCAGTACAGCAGCCACGTCATAATCGAGCAGACCTTCAAACAGTGGAGAGGCTCGGAGAACTTCAAGAGCAGCATCGCACCGATGGCCTACATCGGCCACGGCACTTACACCACCTACGCCATCACCAACATGACCAAGATATTTGTGGAAGAATCGAGCCCACAAAGCATCAAGATTGCCCTGCTGCTAACCGATGGCTTCTTTCATCCCAGAAACCCTGATATCTTCTCTGCTATGGCTGATGCAAAGAACCAGGGCGTGAAGGTCTTCACAATCGGCATCACTCATACTGCCAATGAGCCTGCCAACACAGCAAACCTGAGACTGCTGGCAAGTACGCCAGCCTCCAAATTCCTGTATAATCTGCAGGACACGAACGTCATGGAAAAAGTCATTATTCAGATTGTAAGTATGGTGTCCCACAAGCACTCGTTCTGTCCTCGTACAGTATGTCATAGGCAGGCACACACAGAATCCCCACAGATCTGGTCAAATGCGTTCCTGCAACTTGAGTATTTGTGTGTAAGTCATTATTTTGGCTGATTTGATTATGCTTTCAGCTGCCAGTAAGAGTATACTTTGAGATTTGTTGAATACTTTTTGGCATTTTTAAATCCATTCTACAGTAAAAGTCTACATATTTACGCTCTTAAGAATTTCACTCGCTACGGCACATGTGTTGTTAGTGATGTGACAGTAAATGGATTCAGATTCAGATGGATTCAGATTCAGTTCTATGTAAAAAGTCTGCAGATTCTTTCTGGGCTTGTTCAAGGTTAAAATAAATAAAATAAGCTACAAACACTTCTACTGAGATTTCAACAGAGCTCTTTTTACATGGTTGGTTAACCATTCAGATTTCCTGATTTGATTCGATTTCAATACACAAGCTCTCATTTTGACACTGATTTTGATTTGATTCGGAATAATTTGTGCATATTTTAGTTTCACTGTCCATTGGTATATTACAAAAATATTAAATATCATACATTTTCACACAGCCATATTTAATATAGGCCTTATTACTATTAAATTCAATCACTGAAAGTGATTGTAACTTGATATTGAATGATTGGGTGTGTGACTTATATAGTTATTTGTTGTGCTGTGTTTTTGATTCACTAAAAAAAGAATCAGTTTATAAGAGTCATTTTCTTGTGAATCGGGCTTCACTAGTCGTTCGAATCAAACATCTAATTTAATTACTGTAGGGATTTGAATTTGCCCAAATGTTTCTGTTTGTTTAATATTGCTTTATCACTTGCTCTTTTATTATTATTATTATATTTCATCACTGAAAACGGCTGAATGCCACAAAAATGCATTAAAACGCTTGCATAGAGTGAACTGTTAAATAATGTCACGATTTTCGATATCGTGCCTAATTGGGAATTTTTATTTTATTTTACATCAACGATTGACGTATTTAGTGTCAGTGATATGTGCTTGTGAAATACTGTGACTATCATCCTGCTAAACTTAAACCAGCTTTACTGGTTTGCTGGTCTTCACTGGTCACCTGTTTTCCACAGGTCAGGTTGATCTGGTTGGCTAGTTTTAGAGAGGGACTTGTCAGCTGGCTGGGAGACCTGTTAAACCAGTTTAAACCAGATAATACCAGCTAACCACATCTGGCCTGTATTTGACAAGCATTTGAACGTACAGAAGAGAAAATAATTACATTCTGCTTGTTCTGCTAGTGTTTTAGGATCCCTGACACCTAACAATTAGCCTTTCTACACTTCATTTACTATAATTAGAGTAAACGCGTCCCGTTGTGGCTTTTCTATACATCTGGGACTGGGTTTATATATTCCATAAATCTTTGTTGTCATTCCTGGTGTTATACTGATAAGCATTTACGGCAGGTTTCATTTTTCTCATTTGAGCAGAAACACTTTGATATAATTCCAGTGTAAAGCAGGACTCAGCATGTTAAATGATAATGTTTCCTTTAATCTCTGGGGAGATTTATGAATGTATGGCCTGACGTTAACTGTTCATAATGTTAACCCAAATCTCACTAAATTAATCCTTGCCATATAGCAACAATTATGACTGCAGCTTTTATATACCAGTTATAGTTTGTACAGAATCAAATGTTCTTCTTGTTCCCTCTACATAGGCTCAGCTGGCAAACGATGGGGTAAGTAGATAATATTTAATATAGATCATATTTAATATAAAGCTTCACTGCCTTACTGAAACACAAACAAATACAACTTTTCCATTTACACTCTTTTCTCCATATTAAGTGTCCTCTGTCCCAGAAGTGTGTGTGTGAGAAAGGCGAGAGAGGACCCGGTGGCCCAGCGGTAAGTGTTTTCACTCTAAACTTCCTTCAACATGGGACCATATTTCCAGGAAAGCCCACGGGCACATTTTTCTCCTCTTTTTTTTATTCCTAAGAGGTACGGATTCCTTTGAGGATTGTGGGAAGAGACAGGCACGGTTCTGACATTTTGGATAACTACTTTGCTTTGTAAAAGTCAGGATAATAATCATCTTTGTCAGGACCCTTCAGCACTACCTTAGGGAAAACACGAAATAAGATTCCTAAAAAAGTGTTTTTCATGTTTAGCCTGTTGAAAGTGAAGAGAATGTAATTACATGTTATGAATGAAAACCTTGACTTTCAAACACTTAAGGGTCCAAAATGAACATTTTGCCACACCTGCCAATGATGGGTGAATATAGTCATAGTGACATTTATATTTTTTGTCCTTATAACTGCAGTTATTTAGCATTTTGGGATTTTTGTGATAAAAAACTGCACTGATCGACTGGCCAGAGACCAGAATCAGCCGATTTTTCACGTGCTCGGCCCGGACCGGTGACCAGCGGCACAGGCAATCACATCAGCTGCGCGTTCTCACTCTCTGCTCTCCGACGGCGAAGTGACAATAGTTAAATAGTGCTTGTATTGCGCATAATTGACTAATTCCCGCAGGTTTACAATTGGCGCGCACAAAAAGCCGCCTCTCAAACAGCTTGTGAGTCGCAAGTACCAAAATGAGTGGCTTACTGCGCTTAAACGATTAAATACACGCACAATGATGTCAAAATGCCTGTCTTGGTGAGTATTCAGTTAAACAGTCAGTTTTGGAACGTAAATAGTTGAGAAAGATAACGCATGTTGTGTAACTTATGTTGTACGCTTAAACTCCTAAAGTGACAGCAGCCTAATATTCCTGCTGCTCTCTGTCATGTTAAAGGGCTAGTTCACCCAAAAATGAAAATTCTGTCAGTAATTACTCACCCACATGTTGTTCCAACCCCGTAAGACCTTCGTTCATCTTCGGAACACGAATTAAGATATTTTTGATGAAATCTGAGAGCTGGATCACTCCTCCACACTAGTCCATAGGCTTCTTCAGGGATTGAACTTGCCGGCCTCGAAAAGTTATTAAAGACATCGTTAAAATAGTCCAAGTGACTACAGTGGCTCAATCTTAAGTTTATCAAGCGACGAGAATACTTTTTGTGCGCAAAAACAAACAAAAATAACGACTTTATTTCAACTATTCATTTCCTTCTCTTTGGGCCTCGAGTCAGTTAACGTAGTGTGATTCAGTAGAGCTACGTCACACGTAGGCTCACTATTGGCCGACGCTGGTCATGTGCGTGATGCGTGTGACGTACAACAACACAAGGTGTTTCTCAATGTCAAGGATACTTCCTTGGCAGGACTCGTCCTTCCAAGTCATTTCCTTCAGAGGCTAGGCGAGGCTCCTCTTAGCATTCGGAGAACACGTAAATGGAACAGGCTAGCAAGTGCACGTCATTGCGTCATTACGTCAGTGAAAAGGTCCGTTGGTCCCTGCTAAAAAAGACGAGAAAGCTATGAATAACGCTCTGAATGGTATAATATTAACGTTACATTACTTTGTACAACTTAAGTAGTTATTTATAAAAGAAATGCCGGTGACGGCTAACAATTGTTAAAATGACAGGTCCGGTTCAGTTAGCCATCAATAATAACGTATTAAATTAGTATATATGTGTATAATTTGTAATATCAATACGGTAATAATTTGTACTGGCATTTAAACGTTAAACTTTACTTACATGACGGTTATAACAAATGTATGGTAACGTAAATATTTACATTTGAAAGCACATTGCCCCGTTATTGCTCCGACTCCGCTAACGTCCGACATTGTGTATTTTTTTAACAAGATAGCAAAGCTACGCGCATAGGATTGTGGGCGATTTGAGAGCGCGAAGAGTGCGAAGTCTACACATATGCATCCTTTCCTGTGTATGGGATATTTTCCGAACGAAGGACTCAGTCCTTGGTTGAAATCCTCGACATTGGAACAGTCCTTCGACGGATGTCGATGACGTAGCATCCTCACAATTCCGGCTTCCGAGGATCCTTCCTTGACATTGAGAAACGGCTAGAAAGCTTACGCTATTACACTAGTGAACTGACTCGAGGCCCACAGAGAAGGAAATGAATAGTTGAAATAAAGTCGTTATTTTTGTTTTTTTTGCGCACAAAAAGTATTCTCGTCGCTTGATAAACTTAAGATTGAGCCACTGTAGTCACTTGGACTATTTAAACGATATCTTTAATAACTTTTCGAGGCCGGCAAGTTCAATCCCTGAAGAAGCCTATGGACTAGTATGGAGGAGTGATCCAGCTCTCAGATTTCATCAAAAATATCTTAATTCGTGTTCCGAAGATGAACGAAGGTCTTACGGGGTTGGAACAACATGAGGGCGAGTAAATACTGACAGAATTTTCATTTTTGGGTGAACTAGCCCTTTAATCAAAGAACAAAAGACAAAGAAAATCACTCTTTGCTCTTGACTGAATAACTTTTGTAACGTGTAAGCATTAATCTGTATTTCATTTTTTACAATGAAGACTATACAGTGTTGTTTTACATTTGATTACTTTAATTTCTGTAGTATTTTTTCTTTCCTGAATACTGACCTTCTGTTAGATCCACCTGAAAAACTTAAAGCCGTGTTTATGTCATATCTCTCTTTATATATTGCAATTATTTGTGCTGTTGTTTGCAATTTGTTTATTTGTTCTTATTCTATTACTGACAAGAAATTTGCAATAGGTGCCTCTCTTGTCAAAGTTACAGAGTTTGATACAGTTCAAGTGATTCTGGTCAAAATAAAATAGATGCACTGAACAAGTTCAGATTGATTTTTTTTTGTGCTCTTTTAACACGGCTTAAACTGTAGTAGTGTAGAAGGACGCCTAACCATCATTATCCAGGTGCTTTTTCCTCTCAGGGATTCCACACATTCTCATGGATATAAATGACAGGCCTCAGTAATTGCTCTGATTAGTTTGAGCAGTTGATCAGGTCAAACTCAAACTCCAGACTGTCCTTCATTCATAGAACTGAGAAGTTCAATTCAATTTAATGAATCGTTTCAATTGAACAATTCATCTAAATGGTTCAGAAAGCAATTCACTAGACATGATATTTTACACCCGTTTTTTTAATTGAAACAACACTGCCATAAATTGCTAATAGGAGATTTTGTCAGATTTGGTAAACTTTTGGCAACAATTATAAACAGATACTTGCTAGACTAAACATAAACAAGTGTTGTTGTTGTCAACTAAAACTATTTAAAAAAAATGTTTTTATTAATTGAAATAAAGCTGAAATATATGGAAGCTTGTTTCCGCCACAGAATGAAAAATAAAAAAGGTAATTGCGACTTTTTATCTCACAATTCTTTTTTTCTCACAATTGCGAGTTAACATCTCGCAATTCTGACTTTATTTCTCAGAATTGCGTGTCATAAAGTCAGAATTGTGAGATATAAAGTCAGAATTGATTGATATAAAGTCGCAATTGCAGGTTATAAAGTCAGAATTGATTGATATAAAGTCAGAATTGCGAGATATTAAGTCAGAATTGCATGAAATAAAGTCGCAAGTGCGGTATAAAGTCAGAATTGCGAGATATAAAGTCAGAATTGCTAGATATAAAGTCAGAATTGCGTGTTATAAAGTCAGAATTGTGAGATATAAAGTCAGAATTGATTGATATAAAGTCGCAATTGCGTGTTATAAAGTCAGAATTGCGAGATATAAAGTCAGAATTGATTGATATAAAGTCGAAATTGCGTGTTGTAAAGTCAGAATTGTGAGATATAAACTATTCTGAGGGGGAAAAAGTTCGTCTTTTTTTTCCTTAGAATTGGCCGGATAATTCGCAATTGCGAGTTTATATCTCACAAATATGAGAAAAGATGTCAGAATCTCAAGATATAAACTCGCAATTATGTGTTATAAAGTCAGAATTGCGAAATGTAAACTCGCAATTGTGAGAAAAAAAAGACAGAATTGTGCGATAAAAAGTCTCAATTCTGTCCTTATATCTCGCATTTGCGACTTTATTTCTCACAATTCTGACTTCATATCTCGCAATTGTGAGATAAAAAGTCGCAATTTTTTTTTATTTTTTTTTATTCAGTGGCGGAAACAAGCTTCCATAGAAATATGACATATAAATATTAGATGAAAATTTTAACTAAAACTGAAATAAAAAAAGCTAAACAAAGATACAAAAAGAAAAACATTCAAAGAATGACAAAATTTTTAAAACAAAAACAATGACAAATGCACATAAAAAGTCATTAAAACTTAAAATGAAAACTGAAAATATAAAAATAAAAGCTAACTCAAAATATGAATAAATACCATCATATTATATAAATAATAAAATAACAATAGCTATTATTCCATCCAAAGCTGCGAATTTAACTTATGCGGAAAATTGGAATACCAAATAAAACATTTGTGAATAAAGCACCGTTTCATTCCATTCCTGGAAAATTCGCACAAAATATCTGTAATAAAAATGGAAGGGGAAGCCACTGTGGCTCTTTTTCCCTACATCATAAACGCAATAAACTCTGTCAGGCTCTCTTGCGTTCAAATGCTGGTGTTTGGGAATGCAATCATGTGAGACACTTCTGGAAGGGAATTAAACCAAATTATTTTGATTTCAGACTTTGGCTCAGGCATTTCAGAATTATCAAACCAACATTTAAAATGCTATGCAACCAAGGGATTTATTAAGTAAATGTGTTTCCATTGTAGTTTATGTGCCTGCTTTCTTATTAGATACAAATATGTATCCACCTCAACTGAACGCATAACTTTTTTATGCAATTTTTTTTAGAATTTATGTGCATCTTGGTGTTTACATCCAGTTTATTTATGCGATATTCGAAAATGCGGATAAAAATAGCTGGATGGAAACAGCTACTGACATAAAAAAAAACATTTTTTAAGGCTGTTCCACTAAGCATCAGACACTTTTTCACTGGAATAGAACTAAAACAGCTGCTCACTTTCTCCCGTTTCCCCGGCAGGGAAAGAAGGGTCGCCCAGGAGAGGACGGGACCCCTGGGGCTAAAGGTCATAAGGTCAGCATTTCTATCATTCTCTCTGGCGTATCCTGCTTTTGTTGATGTACATGGGAAATGTGATGAGGAGGCTGATAGCTATTTATATAGTTGTGTATTTGTCTCTTAATATTTCTATTGAGATTTCATATGCACATTTTGTCAGATTCAGCAGTACAAGAATCAAGAATGACAGGTCTATTCAGTAACTCTTTCTAAAAAACACTTGTGCTCTTGTTAGGGTGATCCTGGTTTGAGTGGACTTCCTGGTCGTGAGGGTACAGAGGTGAGTGGCTAATGCTGGGACAAACTATCTGCAAAATCACTACTCAAAAGTATTGTGCTACATGATCGAAAACCTACAGTATTTGGGTAAAATAGCAAGTACATAAAAAAAATATCTAAACTTCTGTCTGGTGGTGTGATCATCAAAAAAAAAAAAAAGTTACCACATTTTTAATTATCAAACATTATTATTAAATACACTATATCCTAATTATTCAACGAAAAAGCGTTTAAAAAGGTTAAAATATTTTATACAAATATATATTTTGAATTATTTAAAAAAGGTGAACTAATTATCATGTAAAAAAAAAAAAAAGAAGGTAAAAATATTTTCAATAGTCACTTATTGACCATGAGGGTTACACTTAGGGGTCCGCTGTGATGTCATTTCCTGTTTTTTGTTTTCTTGTCATGTGACAGCTAAATGGTTTCCTTTATTTTTTATTGCATCAGGCTGACTTTTATTTGGTAGACAGTTTTTTTTTATATTTAAAAAAAAACTGCTTCACTGTAACATTAATAAAATATTATTTCAAACTACTTTTTTCAAGATTGTTTGATTACAATATCCAGACTTTGACACAAAGTGATATTTTTACTTTAAGACAAAAAAAAAAAAATCATTAAAATACATTTCAAATGTCACAAATTGAAAAATTTAGTCAAGCCATTCTAAGTATGAATTGCATTTTTATAATGATTTTAAATGACTTAATATATCCAGACAATATATGACATCGCCAATCAATGTGCAAGATATGAATAAATAGGGTATTTAAAAGAAAAAATACATATAAATATCTTCCTGTTTTGCTCACAGGGGAAACCAGGCTACAAAGGAGAGCAGGTACTGAATCCCTGCACTAAATCATAATTCATTTCTGTGAAAGCGCACAATCATGTGAGATTGTCATGACTCTGATCCTCTCTTGACTGTGTACAGGGTGAAAGAGGAGAATGTGGAACCCCAGGAATCAAAGGAGACCGGGTACATAAACCTTCAGACGTTACAGCATTCTGCACGCTCCTTGAATATGTGATGAACACAATAATACAGTATATGTTTTAAATGCTTAATTAGTATATATTGTACCATCTGATAGGGTCCTGAAGGTCCAGTTGGCACACAGGGGTCCAGAGGTCTGCAGGTATGCGATTATACATTTATTTAAGATTTATGTCAAACAAGAAATGTCACACCTGTCTGTATATTCACATGTATATGTATGTCAAAAATGTACAGTTTACAGTTGTTTTCTTTTAAAGCCATTTCAAAGTTTAAGGCCTTTGACTTTTAAAATGTTGTCTCAGCTAACAGGGATTGTTCTCAGAACTCCCCAAACGTTCTGGCAAGGTTCTCTCAAAGTTACGAGCAAACGTCGTTTCAGTAACATTAGTAGAACTTTCGTTCAATGTTATCTGGTCTTTAATATTGTTCTCAAAACGTCAGCAGAAAAACATTTATACTGTACATCACTAATAGAACGCTTTATCTGAAACATTATCTATGTTTTAAATGTTGCTTGTTTCAGAATGTTAAGAGAACATTCAAAAGTAACGTTCCCATAATGGGTTGTAGAATGATAAAATGGAATGTTCCCCAAAAATGAAAATTCTATCATTAATTACTCAACCTCATGTCGTTCCAAACCCGTAAGAATTCCATTCATCTTCGAAACACAAATGAAGATATTTTTGATGAAATCGGAGAGATTTCTGTCGCTCCATTGACTTTGACGCATCAAAATGTTCATAAAGAGATTGTAAAACTAATCCATATGAGTTGAGCGGTTTAGTCAAAATTTTCTGAAGAGACTATCGCTTTATATGATGAACAGATTTAATTAGGCTTTTATTCACATAAACATTCATCAACTCACACATCAGTCGGGGGAAAGGGAAGCTAAAGCCTATATATTCGCTTGACGTGCGAGAACCAGATGGTTCATTCTCGTGCATCAAGCAGGTTCGGGTTGAGCTTCTGTTTATGTTTGCTGATCAATGTTTATGTGAATAAAAGCCTAAATTAAATCTGTTCATCATATAAAGTGATCGAGTCTCGTCATAAAATTTGGACTAAACCGCTCAATTCATATGGATTAGTTTTACGATCTCTTTATGAACTTTTTGAAGCGTCAAAGTGGTAGTTGTGTAGCTGTCAATGGAGGGACAGAAAGCTCTCAGATTTCATCAGAAATATCTTCATTTGTGTTCTGAAGATGAACGAGAGTCTTACGGGTTTGGAACGATGTGAGTAATTAATGACAGAATTTTCATTTTTGGATGAACTATCCACCTTATTCCTGACGACCTTACTGCGTTTTGAATTATGGGTGGCACTTCCGGTTTGGGGAACTTCCATTCAAAAAGGCTGAAACGAATAATTTCAAATCGGTTGCCCTACAAATAAAGTTGATCCGTCAGTTTGACTGGATGAGCTGTCAATTTTCCTTCATGATTTATTTTCAGACATCATGAGAATAACGTTATACTTGGTATTTTAACGTGACATGTTATAACAAGAATATCTATGGCAAGAGCTCTTTTCAGTCGCTGCTTTCTTTTCCTCATGATGATTTTTATTTTTTCCTTTGCAATCCGCTGTAAAAGTATGAAAAAGTACAACATATACGGCACATTTGTGGTCTGTTCTCCCGAATTAAATTTAAGATAATAATTCACTGGAATGCAAGAAGAATCTCTCGTTATTCTCCTCAAATCCCCACGTTTCATTCCAGGTTTGTTTTCACAGGTAAATGCAATTTATAATCTGTCAAAATGACGGAAATCACTTTGATATAGTGTCACGTAATGCTGAAGTTAATGAGCATTTTTGATTAAGGCTTGTTATACAATAGGTATATTTGCCTACTACAGTGATATTTAACCAAAGACTCGCGCGTTTGGGGCTATTTTTGGTCTGTTGACCTTGTTGATTCTTTTAAACTTTTAAATTTCATTTTAATGTTCGATGGTTGAAGGGTGAGTCGATTAATGTCATCTCATTGTGACACTTTTTTAACGTATTGCGTTCATAGAGCGAGCCTTTCACTGATTGTTTACAGCTTAACGGAAGTTACACCCATAATTCGCGCAAAGCGTCATGGGGCGTAGGAATAAGGTGGATAACCCTTTAACGTTTCCATAACGAAAAAACGGACATTTGAACGTTCTGAGATCTTTCAGAAATAATGTTTTTGGAACTTAATGGGAACGTCAGCACTTTTGTTAGCTGAGGTAGCACCATAGACAGTGGGGTAGCACTATGGTTGATTGACAGGTGAGTACACTGTAAAAAGTAATACCTAGATCTAACTTATAAAAAGTGAGGCAAGTGGCTGCATTGGATGTTTTATGTTGATTCAACTTGTAGCCTTTTTTAAGTATATTGAACACTTTAACATTACTTTATACAAACGCAACAAAATCAAGTTGAGTTAACTAATAGTACTAGTATTACTCAGTTAGATAAACCTACTTTTATTGGTACAGGTAACTTATTTATGAGTTGCTACAAGTAACCTGTACTCATTTTAATTAGGTTTTATGAACTTTGTTTTCTTAGTAAAATTAACTTAATCATATGTGAATAAACATTTTAATATATTTTTTTAATTGTCAATAACAATTACAAATTCAATTGAAGAAGAAAAAGATGAGAAGATAGATTGAAAACAATATATAATTTATTCAATGTCAACCAGTGTCACTTTTAACAGTGACTACAAAACAGCAAATAAATGTGGCCGCACATGTACACTCTAATATAAAACAAACACTGTAGAAGTGTATTTTCAACCTGTTCTGAACAGTACAGTGAAATATCCAAACTGCCCAATCTGAAATGTTTGGATCAAGGTAAATGTGAGCCATAACATCACATTGTATCACACTGGAACTGCAATGTCAAAAATGACATGATGATGGTTTAGGACGCACAGGGTCCAATCCTACAAAAAGCCTCTGATATATCTCAAGTATACAGCAGTTTTGAGGGATACTTGAGGTCGAGAGCATAGGTAAGTTCAAACAGGAGGCAGCATGCTTTCGACAGGTTTGGCACACCTCTGACCACGGGCTGTCCTTATATGATAATCCCAATCGTGTCGGGGTGATGGCACATGTAAATTTTCACTGGGCAACTGCCAAGCTCAGCGTGCACCTCTGTTTCAGCCCGACTCTATTGGTGGAGACAAAAAAGAAACAAGAGTTTGGTCAGACAAATAGGAAATGAGATGAATATTAGCAGACAGGTAGAAGAGATAAGACACAAAGTCCAAATTGTACTTTTGTTGCTAAAGGTGGTGGATACAAGATGGACACTGTGACTAGAACATGTGACCAGAGTGAAGTCTACCATGACAATGCCATAGAGTGTGGGTACTAAAATATCATGATCTACTCTAGCATGAGTGTTGTATTTTTCTGGTTCAAAGGATGCATTACAATAAAACAAATGCAATTGTCCTTGCCTGTACCTGATTGGTCATCACATTACTGTTAATTAAGCTACAGAGTTTAAATATCTTTCAAGAGCAAACGTAATCACCCCATATCATCACAATATTAATAAACCCACTAAGCAAAATTATGTTCAAAAGACATCTTTTCAACGTCTTTGTCACAAAGACGTACATTGAAAAGACGTCCACTGAGGAGCCAGAATGAAAGTTTTTACGACTTTTTTTAGGTGTTCTGTAATGAACGTTCACGGAAGCTCCTTTCAAGGTTGAAAACTAGTTCAGATGTGGACAATGTGGACAATTTTCAACATCATTTAAGGTCTCATTTGGACAATTTATACTTATTCTAGACCAAATAAACACTCTCAGGATATATTAAATTAAAACTCACATTTATTTCAATGTAATTTCCATGTGTAATTGCAAAGCAATTAACAGACAGTGAAGTTTCTTTTCATGATTTTTGGACAAACACGCACTGACATCTTTAGACAGTTTAGCATCTGTAATTTATACATATTTGGATCGTGAGAGAAATCAGATTCGAACCAGGGACCTTAAGCTGCCTGCCCTAAGTAGACAGTAATGATTTCATGATTTTTGGACAAACACACAGTCTACTTAGGGCAGGCAGCTTAAGGTCCCTGGTTCGAATCTGATTTCTCTCACGATCCAAATATGTATAAATTACAGATGCTAAACTGTCTAAAGGTGTCAGTGTGTGTTTGTCCAAAAATCATGAAATCATTACTCTGTTTGTGAGTTGCTTTGCAATTAGAAATTACGTTGAAATAAACATGAGTTTTAATTTAATGCATCCTGAAAGTGTTTATTTGGTCCAGAAACAGTTTAAATTGTCTAAATGAGACATTAAATTACATAAAATATGTCCACATCTGAACTAGTTTTTAACCTTGTATGGAGGTTCCCTGAACGTCTATTGGACTTACAGAACACGTATAATCTGATCAAATTGTAATTGAATCTATTCTGAAGTTTGTCTTACCTGGATGTGAAGCTCGAAGACCCAAGGTAATAAAAGTGCTTGGGTATCTAAAGACCGGGAAAATGTTAGATGTTAGAAATAAGGTTAAAAAATCAGTTGTAAATGTAACTTCTTTAAGTAATAGATTAGAAATAGTTTAAAAATCTAGACCAAAAATCTGTCATTAATTGACTATGCAGCATTAAAATAACGTGGATCAAATCTCTAAAATCAGACAGACTACTAAACATACATCTCTACAGTCTAATCTGTGCATCTGCTTTAGTAATGCAAAAGTATAACATAATCTCTGAGTCCTGTCAGACACACAACATACAAAACAAAGTGTTGTCCTTAAAACATCACATCTTACTTTCCCTTATTTGCCCGCACAACTATTGCCTGAAGGCTCGAAATTGCGACCGTTTCGATCGCATATGATCCCGAAATTTAATCTGTGCAATCTAACAATATAACTGAGGGCATTTGTGCAAATAATTATTACATACGTAACTTGTATGTGTTTTTAAACGCTGCTGTTGTCTGCCGATCGACCACACTGTGCAGCCATCTTAGCTTACCATGTGTGCAGGATAGCTAGCTATACAATTTGCAAACCTAACCTCAGCTCCCTAGTGGAGTAAGCGATTTTGCGTGACTTTAGTTTACATCACCAGTCATTCGGCTAAATTTGCTCAACTTACCGTGTTAATCAGACCCTGAAATTCAGATCCGCTGCAGCGACCAAACAGTTGAAGTGCCGAGGAAGATATTGCATCTGCCTGGAGTCCCCGCCAGTGAAAAAGGGATAATGCCAACTTATAAAATTTAAAATATTTACGTTTGATGAACACACCTGTCACATCGACAGCTGCTCAAATAAATTGTGCATTGTCAACTCACTTTTATAACATTTATTGTACACAAAAACCACATACAAATAACTACCCAAATAAATTGCATGGGTTTTATTTAAAATATATTGTTATATAAAAACTGATATATTTTAAGTAAAGTGGAAGTATTTTGATACTTTTTTTGTATAAAACCAATAAAATAAACTAGATTACAAATATTTAAAATATATAAAACCTACTTTGTGGGTGTAGCACTTTTTACAGTGTAGGCGGTCCTTCGCTGCTGACTAAATATGCAAATGTGGTTTGAGTGATCAACAACAGAACGTTTGGAAGCCTGTTTGCACCTGTATTTAACATTGATCACCTGAGACATTCCTTTATTTCAAACTAAAAACTTGCCATTCATTTTTTTCAAACTAAATCTGAGAGCTTATTTCAGAGAAGGTAAATGTTCAAACACATCTTGAATTTCACGCAACATATGATTAAAATATCAAAACTTGTATTTTACTGCACTGTAAAGCAGCATAATGCTTAGGTGTCTACAGATAATGCTACACATTCCTAGAGACATCACACAAATGTTCATGCCACTGTTTCATGTTTGCCCTGCAGGGTTTACCAGGACCACAGGGGGACATCGGACCAGAGGGCTCACAGGGAAAGAAGGTCTGTGCCTTATAATCACAAACCATTATCCTGAAAAATTCAGCTCATCATGTTTACCATGCACACCTGGAAAAGTTTCCCTGTTCGGCTTGTTAGAGTGCATGAGAAAACACAGTCGTTGAAGGCTTGTTTGTCTGCTACATCCATTAGGTACAATCCATTAGATGTTTATGCCACAGTGAATGAGAAATATTGATGCATTCTCAGTTGTTTACTTCCCATGTCTTTAGAAGGAATTATCATTCGTGTCCATTTTCGACGAAATGATGCACTCTGAGGGTAACAGGTGCAGAATAGAGACAAAAGAGTCTCACATAAGGCTTTCACTCTTTGTGTTTCTAGGCCAGTGTCGTGTATTTTTTTGCAAAAAATGTGTTTATCCCTTTACAATAATGCATTTGAAATTTTCATAATTTCTCATCATGATTTTAAAGGAATAGTTCACCCAAAAATGTTTACTTTTCAATACATTTTGATCTCTTTGCATAAAGAAAGCTATTGCACGGCTTCGGGAGTCTTGGCATCGTGACCCTTTAATTAGTGTGTGTGTGTGTGTGTGTGTGAGTGAGTGTTCTTGTGGTTTGAGGACACAAATGTGTAAAATGACATGGGTACAACGTAAACATGGTTTATGAGGACATTTCCTGTGTTCTCGTAAACCAAATATAAAAAAATATAAAAAAATGTTTTCTGAAAAATATTCAAATATTCAGAAAGTTTTCTGTGATGGGTAGGGTTATAGTGTAGGGGGATATAATATACAATTTTTACAGTATTAAACCATTATCGTAAACCACATATACAAGAAGTGTGTGTGTGCGCGTGTGTGTGTGTGTGTTTTGATGTTGAGAGTCATGGTCACTATGAATTGTTCTCCCTTGTAACAACAACATACTGATTTAGAACAATATGAGTGTGAATAAATGATATCATTTCATTGTTAGGTGAACTAATCCTTTATTTTTGACTTTTGGACAATAATCTCCCAAGTGTCTTCTTTCAAGAGACAATGGTTTCGTCTGCAGTGCAAAGGGTTCATGAACTGCAACCATTTTAGTTTGAGTATGTCTTGCGCTTGTGCTCAAAAATAGGGTCGAAGATGAACGCGTTTCGACACGTTTTTGGATTTCCTTTAATAGATACTTGTAGTGAACCTGCTGCTCTGCCAGTAGTTTTCCCCTTGTTTAATTTAACTGCAGGAAGCATTCAGAGGTTTACACAGCTCTGCAGATGTCAGGGATCCTACTTTATACATGCACATGTTCACAAAACTAGTGTCAAAGACTGTCCGACTGATATAAACCACATCTTTTGTTTTTAGAGGCAGATTCATCTAAAAATAGAATAGATGATACCACAAGAAAAAGACAGTCATTATTATTTGAATATAATAATAATAATAATAAACCCTTACTACCAAGGTTAAACGTCAACCAATTAGATTGTAACTAGATTGATAACTAGTACAATTAGATTGACCTAGAAAGTGCTTGTCAGGATTCAGGGTGGTCTGTGATTATTGTCACAGTAGCTAATAACAGTAGAAATGAGAAATGTGCATGATGGAAAAATCCTATGCAAAGTATAAATGTGTTCTCCTCATGCACAGACACGCAGATGACGTGAACAAAGAGAATTTCCAGCATGTAGAAATGCAGCACAGTGAAGCGAAAACTGTAAATGTCATGAGCAGATTTAACTGACCGACTTGTTTAGATTGGATTGTACTTTTTCGACAGCAGCTAATCTCTATACGGTCCTATTTGAAAATAAGCCGCTAATGCACAAACAGACTGAACAATACCTTAAATATGGACAGGAATAGTAAAGAATCTAACATTTCTGGTTCAGACTCTAATCCTTATTTATAATAATTATTAGTTCTTTTAGTATTTTTGAGGTTTGAGGCGATTATATACACTACCGTTCAAAAGTTTGGGGTCGGTACGATTTTAAATACTTTTAAAAGAATTCTCTTCTGCTAACCATGGCTGCGCTTATTTGATTAAAAATACAACAAAAATCAGTTATAGTATTAAATATTATTCCAGTGTAAATCAGCTGTTTTCTGTGTGAATATATAGTAAAGTGTAATTTATTCCTGTGATCAAAGCTGAATTTTCAGCATCACCAGTGTCAGTGTCTTCAGTGTCAAATGATCCTTCACAAATCAGTATAATATGAGGATTTGATGCTCAAGAAACATTTATTATTATTATCAATGTTGAAACAGTTGTTGGTCTGTCAGTTGTACAGTTTTTTTTTTTTTTTTTTGGATTCTTTGATGAATAGGAAGTTCAAAAGACTTTTGGGACATTATAAATGTCTTTACTGTCACTTTCGATCAAATTAATTATTCCTTGATAAATAAAAGTATGGATTTCTTTCCTCCAAAAAATAAAAATAAAATTCTCACTGACCCCAAACTTTTGAACAGTAGTGTATATAGTATGTAGTATGAGTGTCATCATTTTCATGTACATCATATAGCGTTCTGACTGAAGGTTAAGTAAAAGGAACGTTCCTGGTTAATTTCAACGTAAGCTCTATTGACAGAATCTGTGCCCTGCTGTCGATTTCCACAGAAAATAAATTCGTCTTGTTGACAGTCATGTGCTTTCACTGGAAGTGGATCCATTGTAAGTGGATTTCAGTCAGCACCATTTTAAGTTATGTTTATACAAACTGAGGGACGAGTCTAAATTATTGTCAGTGATAATCAACAGCATGTCACAGATACTGTCCATAGACTGAACACAGAACATTCCTTCAGTGTTTCTCTGAGATGACAACTTGAGTTTAAACTTAAACCTGAATTTATATAATACTTAATACCTGATAAAGGTTCTATGAAACTCTTATGTCTTTTCGCATATAGATTTTACACAATGAAAAATTTCTTCCATACATACTGTAATAATGAACGTGATATATAATGACTTGTTTTTGTTTGTAATTAATCACAGGGTGAGCGTGGCCCTGCTGGCCCACCTGGAATACAGGGCGACAGTGGAATTGGACTTCCTGGAACAAAGGTCAGCCGCATATATCTTTTATATTTAAATACACTTAAATTCTCCAAAATCACCACAAACAATCAGCCTTTAAAGCTGTAAAAACAAACGGCTAAGCTGATTCACTGGTCTCTCAGCCTTGAAAAGTTTGGGTCGCTTTTCAGTTCACTTTTCCTAAAAGCATCATTGGTTGCAAGTTCTGTTGAATTGTGTTGGTAACGACAGAACTGGGAAACGCACCCCTGATAAACCACCATAATACCAGTTTAGACCAGCAAACAATCTCAGGCTGGATGTTTTTTTTTCCTTTCCTTTCCACGGTTAATGAGCCACCTAAACTGGGACTTTAATTTAACCGTATAAAGCCTTCTGTATCATATTATCATATTAAAATTATAATGATCAAAACTTTACTGAAAAGCCTGTTGCACACAATCTACTACATGCCTTTTGTCGTCTGATTGACAGTTTAGACTTTTTAAGCAAGTAAAAGATATTTTAGTATAATTGTAAAAATGTCTCTCATGTCTTATTTTTAAAAAGTAAATATAAGAATAGCTTTTATATTGTTAGAATTATTTCAAGATGAACATTTACTGCATATAGCATTTTTTTTAAATCATGTTAAAATGTGAGTATCATATGATCCATAAGGCCTTTGAATCATAATTGTTTTGCACTGCATATGTTTTGCCACTCAAAATCTACAGAGCTTTGATAATAAAACTAAGAATTTAAATATTATCCTAATACATATTATTGGTTGAGAGTCACAACTGACATTTATGTGCATTTTAGGTAACTAGTCTGCTATCAGAGTCAGAATTTGATCTTAATTTTTGGCCAAAACAGCAACTGCACCAAATTGCATATTATTTCTCAGTTTGGGCCTCTGAATAAAACAATTTTCTCAAAAACAAAAAAGAAAAAGAAGAAGAAAAAAGAAAAAGAAAAGAGAGGGTGGATTTGGTTTCCAATAACCATCAATTCAGTATCAACATATTACCCATGGTTACAGACGATGTAACACAAATAGCAGCTCCATATTCTCACTATATCATATTATATTCTCACTATATCATATTATATGAGCCATAAAAGGCTGGTCCCTTAAAAAAGGAAGGTTCCTTAAACTGTTCCATAAAAAAAGATTTTCTGACAATTCATATTCATATTTATAAACTTGACATAGATAGTAATGGTTGCGGTGATTCTCATATATGCAGTCATATTTTATATTTCTTACTCTTTCTCCTGAATTGTTGGCTTTGATCCGTCTGCAGGGAGATATGGGATTTCAGGGGAGATCAGGTCCTCCGGGTCCACCAGGCATCGGCGAGCCAGGTCTGCCTGTAAGTATAAGCAGAAGGTCAGAAATATTCAGCTTCCACAACTGTTTATTAATCAGCCCACACTGAATTCACACCCAGAGGTTTGTACAGAAAATAAATGCACATCATGCACAGAGATCTACACATGCCCCTGTCCCTTGCATGCTAAATTATTAAATATTTTGGCTAATTTAATAAGAATGTAGCACTCTCAGCTCCATTTAACACATTTATTTACCATGTTTAAAATCATTTAACAGATTTTCCCCGCAGAAAATGCAGCACACTCTGTTTAGGCCTGCAACTCAGCATGCAAAAACCACTATAAGACACAAGAATCAATTCTTTACTTAGGCTTATTATAATTGTGATTAGATTATGTTCTTGCATTGTGGTGCTATATGAGATTTTTCTTCATCAAATCAGGGGCCTCAAGGGCCACACGGGGTTCAAGGTGAGAAAGGACCACAAGGAGAGGGTTTTCCAGGTCCAAAGGTAAGATTAGCCACCGTCAAAGCCATGTTCTCACTAATGTCACTCTGCTCTTTAATCTAGCTGGAGATTTGTAGCAGCCAAAGGCAATCTGAGAAGATCTAAGTAAACAAATTCAAGACTGTCATTTTTTTTTTTTTTTTTTATATACCTCATTAGAGGCTCAGAGTCCCCTGGTAAATACTCATTTCAAAACCCAAAGCTATTAATTAATGTATGTTCACGGATAAATTAGCTGAGCATTAGCAGCCGGAGGACACGAGACAGAATTTATTGGATCCATTTTCTTGAACTCTGTTAAGCCTCTTTGTAATCTATCTAATGTTAGCATCTAACGAGATCTACATCAAAGCCAGAACTGCATATAAAATGTAACCATAAATGAAAAATATAGCAGAGAAACTTGATTCACGTCAGAGACCTACTGTATTTCTGAACCTCAGCGCTTTGAAAACCTGCATACAGTAACTAAATTATATTACTTTATGATGATATTCAGATTTGATGATGATCAGTTTTGAACCGATTCATTCATACAGTTTGAACTGATTCACAGGAATGAGCTGAACTTGCAGCTCTAAGACCATTTTTGCTTCTTAAGTTTATTATTAAAGTCCCCATGAAATCAAAATGGAAGTTTTTTGCCTTTTAGATGAATGTTAGCCTTACTGTTATTTTTAAGCTAGTGTGCTCCAAAACAATGACAAAATTTGCATTTAGAAGATATAAGCATTCAAAACTTACAGTCTCTCACTTCCACCGATATGGATCAATGATTTTGATGACATCACTCTGCACTTCAGCTTCTCATCAGATTTTCTGTCCAATCAAATGCTCTAGAATCTAAAGCGTCCCGCCGCCTACATTACTGAAATCGGTCACTTGTTCACACATTTACTATTTTTTCTACATGGTGAATGACACATAGTGCACTATAAAGGGGATAGGGAACGATTCAGACCATGACAACGATTCGCTTTCCATTGGGGCGAAGGAAGTCTGTTTTCACGTTAAAGCCACGTGAACCGCTGCAGCGCACACACACAGTCTGCTCCAGGTCTGCGCAGAATGCTATATTTTAAGTGATATGGAGGAGAAACGTTGGAGATTTGGTGGAAACTTCGGCGGCTTTATACCAAGCTCAACGGCTCTGGTCGAGCTGTGATATAAACAAAACGCGATTGGCTATTTTAAAAAAGGGGGAGGAGCTGTTCGATATGTCCCACCCTTTCTTCCCGTTTCAGTGGAAATTAGTTCAACGCATTAAATAATGCTGTGCGTTTCAAGGCACTTCAGTGGGCCTTTAAAACATCTCATCATGAAATGTTTGTCAAGCGCAGCTTCCTATCCTGTGTTGATGTATTTCCATAGACAGTATAAGAAGTGGACAGAGCCATCTCATTGGAACTCAGTTGAGACAGTTGAAGCCCATTTTTAGCGATTTTTGAGCACTTCCGTTCCTGACGCGCAGACTCAAACCGACTCAAATTAAGCTTGATGACGTGAGCAACCTGTCTGACAGGCGTAAATCTTCTAGTAGCTGTGCGTGAAAATTGCCAACGTTAATCTTGCAGAGACGGGGAACTTGAGCAAAGAGTTCTTTGGCGTGAGTGAGCAGGAGTAAGTATTCCGTTGCTTTTATGAACTCATTATCTATGGGCTTCTCCCTTGACGGGACGTCCCCCCGATTGCCTGCGAGCTTCTCCTGCTGTCTGTACGGTAATTTCTGTGCAGCGTGACAGAGAGTCGAGTGGTTATGACGCAATCGTTAGCCTATTTTTACAAAAGCTGTTTCTACGGGGCCATAATGTAACATAGAAGGTAATGGAGCCCTTTATACATTGTCGTGTTTCTTTAGAAATAAATAATGGACAAATGGAGTCTTTAAACGCCTCAGATGTAAAGTTATTCGCTGTCAAAGTGACGCCAAAATGAATGGGAGTCAATTGAAATGGTAACGCAAGTGAAGTTCTGCTACAAGATGGCGGCACCCGGCCGGCTTCAACTTCCGGTCGATGGATTACCCCCTTGTGTATTTCCTACTAAAACAGGAAGTTGAGGCGGGACATATTAAATGGGTCGAAATGGGTTGAAATTTAAATATAGCTGAAATCAAATAAATTATAAATGTTATAAGAAAAACGTAAACTTAAACAAAAATTAGAAATGTTGGCATTGCAACTACCTGAAAAAAAAAGTTTAAATAAGAAGTACTAAAATGATTAAAAAAAAAAAAGATAAATAGAAATGTTTTAAAAACTAATAAAAATGATGAAAGCCAATAACAAAATTAATACAACTTAAATTAAATTATTAAAATACTCAAAAATATTAAAATGAAAACTAAAAAATATATATACAAAATAAAAGCTAATTTAAAATATGACCAAATACTACAATATTATATCAATAATACCAAAATAATACTGGAATTCATCAGTGGTAAAGGTTTTATTTTGATTACTGTTGAGCAGTGTTTATTATATTAAACTAAAACCAAGATCAACAGATTCTGGATCAGCTCTAATTTAATCCTTATTAGTTCAACCAGCCACCAGACAAATTGAGCCACTTTGAAAGAACAACAATTTCCCTCATTTAGGGATTGTACTTTATTATTATCAGTTGTAAATCCTATAGTGAACGTTTTCTATTGACAAAGAAGCAATACGAGCAGTGCAGTAAATGCATCTGAATGGGAGGCTGGCATTTCAGAGACACTGGTCTGACACTGCTCTTTTGTTTGACAGGGGGACCGGGGTCTGGAGGGGCCGAAGGGACCAAGAGGACAGCCGGGCCCGGGAATCAAAGGCGATAAGGTGGGCTGTAAATATATCAGCCCATGAATGGGCTTCACACAACCACACCATCCGTGTCACACAAAAGGCTTAATGAAGTATGTAAAGTGGCCATACATTCCCACTTAAATGCTGGGGACTGATTGGACCGTGATAGAGGGCGAGAAAGGGCAGATAGGAGGGTACAGCTCAAATTACTGTGGGAAAAAATGAGTCCTGCTTACCTACTGAGTATTATAAAACACCAGTCAATGCTCAGAATATACAGGTTATTTTTCTCATAAGTTAATTTTCAGGATATTTTAGAGCTGTTTTATTTAGTGCCATCCATCCTCTTTGTGTCCTCAGGGTGAGCTGGGGCCTCCAGGTTTGCCAGGACCAATTGGACTCACAGGCCTTGGCATTCAGGGTGAAAAGGTGATACAATATGTCCTTCCTTGACTTTTAAAGGGTTCAATAAAATATGAAAATGTACATGAATTGACATGAATTATTTTATAACATATAATGTTATCCTTATCAGTTAAACTGCACCTTGTCATAACAGACAGTTTATAGTCTATTAATGGGGCGCTCCTGGTCTATCATTTTGTTATTTAAAAGGTTAAACATACAAGCCTAAACTCAGTGTGCCATTTTGATGTATTTGAAAGTACACATAGAATCACTAATTTCAGATAATCAAGGAATGCATAATGCATTAAATATTAATAGTGGTGGCCAAAAGTGATGTCCGGCCTAGGAAAATGTACATCTTCAACCTTTATACAAATATTATTACAAATTTGTTAAAGATTTTTTAGTCATATTGCGGGTTTTTTGGAGTCAATTGTTTGATTTGTGAAAACTCAATGAAACATGCCAAATCATGCGGACATCAAACAAGAGAGAACCAACTAAATATTAATAACTGATTATGTGGTAGTCAAGGTATGCTTTTTCCTGTGAGGAAAAAGTATTTGGTTTTTCTATGCATTTATTTTTGCATAGTAAAATAAAACTTATAGCTGTGGTTAACCTTTTTTGCCATATAATTTTGCAGATTGTACCTTAACCAAATTTAAAGTTCTGCTCTTTTAATATTTTCCTCATATTTTGATTTGTAGAGTAATTGAAAACAATGGTTCTCTCCGGGCATCACTTTTGGCCACTACTGTATATATATATACACCCCCCCCCTCCCCCTCCTCCCCCCTTTCTAATACTAAAACCATAAAAATCTGGGGGGGTTTTATGCAAAAGGAAATCATTATTTCTAGCACTATTATTATTATCTTAAATGTTAGGTTTTCTAATGTAATATTTGTCAATATCAGGGTGTTGAGGGTCCGAGGGGGCCTCCGGGAGGTAGAGGAACACCAGGAGAGGGCATCCCTGGTCCCAAGGTTGGTACTGCTAAAGACTGAAGAGAATAATGTAATTCATAGAAAACTGTAAAATGAAGTGTTAAATTTGTTATTGGCTTAATCTTTTGACTATATTTTCCATTTTTCTAGGGAGAACAAGGTTTACCAGGAGAGATGGGGGCGCCAGGAGAAAGAGGGCAGGGCGAATCCGGACCAAAGGTTTGTATTCTTAATAAGCTCAACAAAGGAATGGGCCATTCAGGATGGAAGCTAATTTAAGACCATGATGAAGAATTTAGGTGATACTAGGGATGAGCCCGAAGCCTAATTCAGAATTCGGAAAGGCACATAAATTGAATAACGCCTTCTACGGAGCCCCTAAAGGGACATGATTAGGCTTGCTGTGGTAGTCGGTTACATTACAGCACATCAGATTTCACTTATCACGTGAAGACAGTAAGGAGAGATGACGGTCGGAGGATTTGGTGCGCAACAGATCCTGAGCATCATTGACAAATATCTTATCTTGTAAAGTGTGTGGTCAGTGCCGCCGCTCCCTACACAGAGTATACGCCTGATCGTGAATTGGAAAGCAAAAGTGCAAAGCGATCGTCCATTCAAAAGCGATTTCAAAACCTGCATGTTGATAGCAGCTCCATGATGTCCGCAAATCATATACAACATAATTACCAAACTATATCATTGTGAGAACGCAAAAGTATTGAAATATTTTTTCCTGCCATCTCATATCTCATGTCCCTTTAGGGGCTCCATAGAGTGCATCATTTCCTTTCCAAACATAGTATTTGGTTTCGGGAACATCTCTACTAAGTACTGATATTATTTCTTCAGGGTGAGCCTGGTTCATCTGGCCTTGCCGGGGTACCTGGACTTCCCGGGGAGGACGGTGGTCCAGGACAAAAGGTAACTCAACTTTCTGATGTCTGCTCTGAGGTCATCTAACATCTAATTTTCTCTGGGATATTAGATTTGTCTCGGAGCAAATAAGTTAACAAATTAGTGAACCGGATATTAAATGCATTGCAAAACCTAATGGGGAACACATTACGGGCCAGATTTACCAACATCTTGCACCAGCGCAAACCCTCTTTTGGTGTAAAAAAACGACTGTCAGGATTTACTAAAGATAAAATTAGCACTGAAAAGGCATGGACAGGGATATTTTTAGCATATTCCTTATTTCATATGCATTTGTAGGAGTTTCCCTTTCAGATGCAACATTTATGGGAGGAGAGTATTTAAATAAATCATGCAAGGTGATTTACTAATGTTTGCGCTCGTCAATTTACTGGTGTTTGCACCATTATTAACAGCCCAAAATAAAGCATGTCTTAAATGTTCTCTAAGCGATCCTGGGTGACGTCACTTCTTGTTGACGTTCGAACTATTGTCAAACAAAACGGAGGCTAGCTACACCCTCCCTCCTCCTCATCTGCACACTAACCCCCCAAACCACACCCCCAAACCCTTCTTGTCGGTCATTGGCTGGAACAGTTTGTCATGTTTCGGGGAGCGGGTCGCCGGAGTTTGTTTTTGTTGCTGTTTGTGGAGCCTGGGTTGTCTACAGAGATCGCGTTTCTTTACAGTGTGTTCAGGGGACAGGCAGCCAGCGGTTAGTGAGGAGATGTTTGCTGTATGTGACAAAAAATGTTTTGGCCTAAAAAACGTGTGACATCGCTTAGAGCACCTTTAAAGTCGCCCTGTGGTGAAAATCAAGTTTTTAATGTTGTTTATATGCCTATGTGGTGTTTTTAATTTGCTTTAAGACAAACCATGTACAAATTCATAAGTCAACACTATTGCTGAGGATTTTCTCTTTTAAACTGCAGTGAAAAAAAGAAGTGCGGGCGAGTTTAACTATCATGAACTAAGACCGCTCTAAAGCAGTGGAGTCTCAAGAGAAGCCGTTATCCCGGTATATTTTAACATTAGCAAACAACACAGCTGATTGATAACATAGTCAAGCAAAAGGCTAATCATATTAATTATGTTAAGTGTCCGATGTTGTAAAGAGCGATACCACTGTGTTTACCTCAGTAAGTTGACCGAGTGGATCTCTGAGTGAGTGGAGGCGGGGCTAATTAGCATATTCATGGGGCCGTGTATACTAAATGAAGCAAGGGTGTAGAGTTACATTCAAGCTATTTTAAAGCATGAAGAACATTTTTTCACAGGAAAAAAAAAACATCAAAAATGTCATTTTGGTGATCAAAGATGAGTAAAAAGGGATACAATTATTGACAATAGGGGGATTTTAAACCATACGCTAATTTGCTCTGCTCTACATTGTGATGTTCATTATGGAAATGATCCGGCTGAGTCTGTGTTCTTTAATATGTCAGTAGATCACGCGCAGAACTTTCCACTCCCATCGGCACCTTTTAAGGAATTGCTCTCTCACGCTAATTTGCCCTGTTTAGTAAATCTGGATCTATATTCCTTCCATTGTGTTTCACTTCATTCAGGGTGAGCCTGGGGCATCAGGTTTGAGGGGACCTGAAGGGGCTACTGGAATTGGCACTCAAGGAGAGAAGGTACTTTATTCATTAATCTTTTTAATATTCAATATGTTTCTTTCTATACGAGTGTCTTGTGGTTGTCATCTGGTGGATGTCAAAAAAGTATCATGTGTCATTATAACCTACTACAGTATGTGTTCATTGATGTCCTATGTTGTAATCTTAATAGGGAGATCAGGGCCAACGTGGCATTCGAGGGTTGCCAGGTTCTCCTGGCATAAGTGGCCCCTCAGGAGCAAAGGTGAGAATATCAACAAAACAAAACAAAAAAAACTGCAACTTTGGTTCTGGAAGTAGTTTCTTTTGAACGGTAGTATACGATTATTGTAAAATATTAAAACTTTTTTTTTATTTTTTTTATTCAAGAGTGTAGGAAGAAAAAGAATGAGGCTTGTTTCCAAAACCTTATTGTTGTGCTCTATAGGGAATAACTAAAGGAAGTAAACATGAATATGAAATGAGGAAAACTGCAAGATTTTCTTTTGGCTCCAAGCTTACAAAACCAATCATTGTTTGAAGTAACAGTGTAATACAATGCTTGTGGTTTTTCACATAGTTTTAGAAGTAATGCAGTTACATCATAGAAACATTATACTGCTTTTCAGGGAGAGCCAGGCACACCAGGAAGACTGGGCATGCCGGGATTTCCTGGACGAGCTCTTGCAGGATCAAAGGTAACAAAGCCAAGCTACTACAACTGAGCCACTCCTTACAGGCCCACTGCCAGCACAATGAATCAGAACGTTTCTATTTCACATTCATCATTGCCAACTTAGCAATAAAACAGAGTTAATGCTATGACCTCATCTCCTTGTGCCTTCAGGGTGATGTGGGTCCCACGGGTCCTCCCGGACCGATTGGAGAGACTGGTTACGGCTTGCCTGGTCCAAAGGTGCGACTTTTTAATCTGTAGAACACTAAAGAAAATGAGCAAAAGGAATGAGATTTAACCCGTGAAAAGTTTGGAATAATGCATTTATTTGACCAAAAAAAAAAAAAAAAAACAGTAATATTGTGAAATATTACAATTTAAAATTACAGTTTTTGAAAATATTTTAAAATGTAATTTATTCCTGTGATGCAAAGCTGCATTTTCAGCATCATTACTCCAGTGTCACATGATCCTTCAGAAATCATTCTAATAGACTGATTTGCTGCTCATTTATAATCAATTTAAATTGTAATAATATTTCACAACATTTCTGTTTTTACTGTGTTTTTGATCAAATAAATGCAGCCTTGGTGAACATAAGAGTCTTAAGTTCTTATAGATAAATACATATTCATTTATATATATATATATATATATATATATATATATCCTCCCTTATCACATTTAGGGTGATCGAGGTAACCCAGGCCCTCCCGGACCATTCGGGCCTAAAGGTGAAGGATTCCCTGGTCCAGTGGTAAGCAATTTTTACATCCTTATTTAAAGCATCACTGCATGCTCATTAGGGGTGTGACAATACACATGGCTCACGAGACGAGACTATACACGATATCGAGTTCACAAGACAATATTTTAACACTATTTTTAAGTAATCTTCAATGACAAAATAAGACTGAAAGTCACAAAATACAAAACAAAGCAGGTGCATTTTGAAATGTTTTAACTTATCTAGGGCTGTCACTAATGACTATTTTGGTAATCAAGTATTCTGTCGATTATTTGGATTGAGTAATCGGATAATATTTGTGTGGTAATAAAAATAATAACCAATAGCCTTAAAAAATATTATATATTATACATATATAATAACAATTATGCAATAACAATTGTTTCAAATAAAGTATCAAAAGCAAGTAATCATATGGTTTTATTGAACAACACTGTTAAAATACATAATGTAATATCCTAAGACAATAATCAACATCTATACATTACATAGTATAACAATTGCCTGCAATGACCTGGTGATTGTTGTTACACCTCACAGCATGATCAAATCCTTGTTTAATATTGGCCAAACAACATTTAATTCAATTTCGATGCAAGCACTGTAAAAGGTTTTGCCACAAACTCAACTCCTTCATTACTGATATCGCGACAGCTTTCACCTCGACGAGAAATATCGCCACGTTCTAATATCGCGAGATCTTGTGACCTAATGCTTATAAATCACTCAAAAGATATATTTCTTAAGTCATTTTTATCATATTTGCTTTATGAATGTTTGTTGCTAGGTATATGAGCATGTGTGTTTACCTTACACAGGGTCTGCCTGGTTTTCCAGGCCCATCAGGCGAGCCCGGCCCCGAGGGCATCGGGATTCCTGGACCAAAGGTGAAGTTACCACTTGAACCTGGCACAGCATGCATTAATGATGGCGTATGAGGGTCATTTCTGACTTTTAAGTGTGTTCGGACACTTAAACTTTATTAATTATGACTTGATTAATTACACAATGTGTAATTAAAAGTTAGTAATTTTACTAAATTACTAAAGTTAGTAATTTGTCAGTGAGGGATTGAAGTTAATTTTGGTATTTTTTTAACCATCCTTTGAAATGCTGATATTATCAAACTGACATTTCTATAAATGTTTCAATCATGATGGGATGTTTTAGAGTTTATAGCACAACACATCACAGAATACATCAAACCCATTGATACCGACATTTGGTTTTGTTGATTTCACTTAATGAGGTCTCTTCCTGGAGGATGATGTCATAAAAGAAGTGGCATTTTGCTAGTTATGGATTTGACAAAAGACTATCAGGATGCAATGTGACACTGAAGACAGAAAACGCCCAGTAAAAACTGATTATAAATGAAATCAATATTCCTAAATATATATATATTCATATTAGAGAAAGGACAAAAATTAGGAAGCACTTGCAGTAATAAAAAAAATAGCCAATATTTACATTTTGCTAGTTTATCATTGGTTTGAGGGGAGTAGATGTTAATGGGATTTTTTTGTTACCATGTCTAACTTATAAAAAGTAATTAAATTATTTACAAGTCACACTTGACTTGTTTGTGCTGCTATTGTGATAAAAGAAAGCAAACTAATGATTGTGTGGCAATTAATACTGAAATATTGTGTTCAATATATTAAGATGGGAACATGAAAATGTACTCCATAGTAGGAATGAATTTAAATGGTGGTTTTGGTAAAACTTGAATTGCTCTTCAGGGAGATGTTGGATTCAGGGGTTTGCCTGGTTTGCCAGGACCACCTGGTGAAGGACTGCAGGGAAAGCCGGTAAGATTGATATTCATTCCCATAAATCTCCCAGACTACAGTAATGAAACTGTGATACTGCATGGTCTGAACAAGCATGGATTGGGAGTCTGTCTGTGTTGCTGTGGCGATCGAGGAAGACAAACGGTCTGTTCTGCCCTTATTGATTCTGCTGTATTGCTGTTTCAGGGCAACATGGGAAGACCAGGTCCTCCAGGGCCACACGGACCCCCAGGGGAAGGTATTCAGGGGCCCAAAGTAGGTTCATTTAATAAAGCTAAAATAATTATACATTGATATTTTTCAGCAGTCGTTTTCAACCAAACAATTCAAAATATATATTACCAGTAAAAAGTTTGGGATAATCAAGATTTTCTAATGTTTTCAAAGTGTTTTATACTCACCAAGGCTGCATTTATTTGTTAAAAAATACAGTAAAATTGTGAAATATTACTACAATTTAAAATAACTTTTCTTTTTAAATAAAATTTTTAAAAAATGATTTATTCCTGTGATCAAAGCTGAATTCAGCTTAACCATCTCAGGAATAAATATGTATATATTTATTCTTATAAATATACAATAATATTCCACAATATTACTGTTGTTATAGTATTTTGATCAAATAAATACAGCCTTTATGAGAATAAGAGACAAAAACATAACAAATCTTAATTATTCCTATTTTGACTTATTATTTTGACTAGTAGTGTTCTTTAAAAAAAATCAAGACACTTTTTAAACTAAGATATAATTGTCATGATGTAATTTTAAATCAGCAGCAAAATCATGAATATGCAATGTTGCCCACCTCTACTGGAATGTATAAGCATTGTGTCCAAGTCATGATAACCTAGTTTGAATCCATCAGGGTGATCATGGGGGTCCTGGAGTGACAGGACCGAGGGGCCCATCAGGAGAAGGACTTCCAGGCTCCAAGGTGAGACGAACTAAAGAAGACGGGGGAGTTATAAAGATTTTACATAGATGTCTGTGTAGTGTGTGTTCACACTTGTAGTTCAGTTCGCTTGGTTTAATTTAGTCCTGGTCCACTTAGCGTTCACATTGGCATTTTAACACTGGACCTAAAGGCATAGGGATGTGTTCACAACCTGATTGGTCGGCTTTTATTACGTATATATCGCGACAGAACTTACCAACATCCAAAACTATGCTGTGTGCTGGGATAAATGTTTTCGATCGTTGTATGTGCGACGTGCGTAGCCAAAATATGATGCTATTTTGACCAGCTGAGAACTCGTGAAGAGCTTATGAGATGCGTAAAGGAGTTAAAACAGCAGCAGGAATCCCTCCATCACACACACAAACCATGATCTGCTGTGAGGAGACGCGGTTCTAATGCCTGTGATGGGCAACATCACGACTGTGAAGAGGAATAAACAGCATTCTGCATTCTGTCCTTTTTAGGGTCGCATCTTGTGACATCATGTCCTGTTTTTGGTTCGTTTACATGTCTTTGCCTCATGTTGCGTTCATATTTCAGTCGAACCGCACCAGGGTCCGCTTGTTTGGTGCACACCAGGGTTCAGATGGCAGCGTTCACACTTATTCAACAAATGAACAATCGCACTTACAGAGCAATCGCACAAGTGTTCGTTTTATTCCAACCAAACATGCCAAGTGTGAACACACTCTTAAAGGCACAGCAGTATAAAACCAACCTGCTTAGTTCAGGTCTAAATTAAAAAGGGTCAGAAAGATTTTTTTTTTTTTTTTATTAAAAATAGTCTATTTTAAGTGTACCTCAGGTATAAAAATTAGGGCTGTCAGTTAAACGCGTTATTAACGGCGTTAACACAAACCTATTTTAACGGCGTCAATTTTTTTATCGTGCGATTAACGGTCTTTTTGGCCTAGCAAACTTTGTAGTTTTTTCCACACGCTTTTGCAACAGAGCACTGCACTATGAAAACCATTCATTTCAATGGCTTGCGCCGCGCGAGGACGTTTTGTTGCTTCGTTGACCAAAGCGGATCTAGCTAGACCGGAAACAAAACAACAGGCACGCCGCACACACTTGTTTGGGCTTGCGAGCCGGCCAAATAGTTGGTTAACGTTACGTTTTGAGTGGATGACGAGTGCGAGACGCCGAAATTGATGCCAATGAGATTCTGAATGGAAAATTTACTTTTAAAAAGTTGCCAAATGGTTCCATTGACAAGACCAAAGTGATATGTGTGTTTTGTCGTTGTGCACTGAGCTATCATCATCGCAGCACGTCCAGTCTGAAATACCACTTGATGATGGCCAAGCACACACACACACACACACAGCTGATGCGAATTCTCCGCCCCCTCGTCAATATCAGGACCTCGTCAGTATTTCTTTCACCCTTTTATTGATGGACAGTGTTACATTGTGTGAGAGATTATTTGCTCCAAGTGAGAATGTTAGTGTGGAATTGAACACAGTATATGCCAATGTTGTTTTCAATAAAAAACATTTGCACAAAGCAATCCGATCCACTTTTCCATGTTGATAAGAGCATTAAAATGAGAAAAAATAATGGGACAAAAAGAAATCAAGAGACATTTAGAATAGATAAAAATGTGCGATTAATTGCGATTAATCGCGAGTTAACTATGACATTAATGCGATTAATCGCGATTAAATATTTTAATCGTTTGACAGCACTAATAAAAATTCAATTATTTTAAAATCACTGATATCAATGATATGACCCCATTCATCTGTATGTCTCTCTGTCCTGCAGGGCGATCGTGGTTTGCCTGGGGAAAGGGGCTTTAAAGGAACCAAAGGTGATTTCGGTGACCCAGGGACTCCAGGACTAGCAGTGAGTTAATTTAGTCACTATAAACCAGCGTTTGTGCAAAGAGCAGACAGTGTAAATACTAAATCACATTGTACATTAGTGATTAATGAGTGTTTAAATCTCCTCCATTAGGGAAGACCAGGATTCAAGGGCGAACAAGGACTCACGGTAAGATTAAATACATTCGCATCTTTTCAATTGTAGATTAATTTTAGTAGATGTTAAATTTAGGAACGCAATGATACCATATTCATTGTAAAAATTAGTAAATGCAGTAATTTTTAATGATTTTTCGGAGAGAAGACATAATCGTGGTTATTAAAGTGTTAATTTTAGGAAAACTGCAACAATTTGCTTTGTAAGTATCAGCGAATTCAGTCATTTTCAATGCTCTTCAGAGGGAAGACAATCCTGCTGATTAAGGAGTTAATTTTAGGGAAACTATGCAACAAATGCATTGTAAATATAAGTAACTATAATATTATAATATATAAGTAAACTAAGTTTTTAGAGGGAAGACATAATCAAGCTTGAGTTAATGTTCGGAAAACTATGCAACCATTTGCATTGTAAATATTTGCAAATAGTCATTTTTCAATTCTTTTTTCATAGAGAAGGCATAATCCAGATGATTAACAAGTTAATTTTAGGGAAACTATGCAACAATATGCATTGTGCATTTTTAATGATTCTTCAGAGAAGACATAATCAAGCTTGTTATGTAGGTAATACAGTATTAGAAAAGATACAACCACATGCACTCTAAATATGAGTAAATTCAGTCATTTTTAATTATTTTTTCAGAGAGAAGACATTATCAAGCTGATCAAGGAGATTTGTGGTGAGTCTTAGGTTTTAAAAATGGCAAATCAAATGATTTGATAATGAAATAACAGGTGCGTCATGACATGACTGTATATTTCTAGGATGTGGTATCAAGTGCAAGGAAAGGCCCATGGAGCTGGTGTTTGTGATTGACAGCTCTGAGAGCGTGGGCCCGGAAAACTTTGAGATCATCAAGGACTTTGTCACGGCCTTGGTGGACCGTGTCACAGTGGGCCGTAATGCCACGAGAATTGGTCTCATTATTTACAGTTTGGAAGTCCATCTGGAGTTTAACCTGGCCAGGTATATGACGAAGCAGGATGTGAAGAAGGCGATCAGGAACATGCCTTACATGGGAGAGGGCACCTATACAGGGACTGCCATCCGCAAAGCCACACAAGAGGCCTTTTACAGCGCCAGGAACGGTGTCAGGAAAGTAGCCATCGTCATTACGGATGGACAAGCGGATAAAAGGGAATCCGTTAAGCTGGATATTGCAGTACGTGAGGCTCAAGTGGCCAATATTGAGATGTATGCGCTGGGAATCGTGAACACCTCTGACCCAACGCAAGCAGAGTTCCTGAGAGAGCTCAACCTCATTGCCTCTGACCCGGACAGTGAACACATGTTCCTCATTGATGACTACAACACGCTGCCAGGTGAGCATGGAAGAATAGCCTATATCCACAGAGAAATTATTATGTATTTTTAACTGCATATTGGCCTGGGTGATATATTTTATAATATAAAATAATAATCAATAAATTGTATTAAATGTAATATAACAAACAATAGGCTAAAAATATAATAAAAATTATTATTTAAAATATAGAATAACAAATAATAATATTGTATTAAATATAGTATATAATATAAAATATCATTTTTATATATTTGTTGTTATAAAATAAATAATGGCAATATTGAATATTTTCAATAGGCTGAATTATAATGTGATAATAAAATATGAAATAATAAAATAATACTGTAAAATATAAAATAACTAATAAAAGTTAAAAATATATATTTATTAAATATAACTATTTGACATATATGTAATAGTCAATAGGCTGACAATATAATAAAAATGACATTTTAAAAATGATATTTTTATTAAATTTAATATTTAAAATATTTTTATACAATGATTTTATAAAGCATTGACGATGTTGAATATTGTCAATAGGCTGAAAAATATAAAAATATGTGTTTATAATATAAAATAAATAATAAATGTATATCAAAAGGATTATAATATTTTATATATATATACAATTGTATTTGTTTACTAGGACTAGATTTTACAATCCCTAATGATTTAGGACCGCATATATATATGGTCACCATTGTCACCAATTATAATGAACATGTGTAATGCAAGAATTAAAATACAGCAAAAATCTAGTTCAAATAATCAAGACATGTTTTTTAATTTTATATATATTTATATACTATTTATGCACATGCGCCAATATAACAATAAAGAGTAATATATACCTACATATAAAACATTTAATAAATGAAAAACATAAGTGGCGTTCCGAGTGACATTTGACTGGTTCTGAGTCGATTAATTGAAATGGAAATTTTGAACTGATTCCCTCAAATGAATTAATCTTACCAATTAAAACTGTATTTTCTCTAGATTTTTAAATCAGAGACACTTTTTAAACATCTCTACACAAGTCTTAACTCATGCTAAGTATAATGATACACTCTTTAAGATTGCAATATTCATGATGTTGCTTAATTTTGTATCAGCAAAGTCATCAAAGAGTCCTAAATGCAAAGCTAAAGGATTCCTGTAGTCGTCATTTCAACAGTTTCAAGCTCAAACGAACTGCGTCTTGCTCTGTGTTCGTGTGTTTATGCAGCTCTGGAGTCTAAGCTGGTCAGCCAGTTCTGTGAGGATGAGAACGGGGCCCTCTTCTTCAACAAGATTACCAACGGCTTGAACGGAAACAACGGCTATGTCTACAATAACGGCCAAAAAGACGTTTACTCGTACGGGAACAATGTTTATGGGAACAGATTTCAGGAGTCACTGGACAGATCGGCGGGTCACACCAGAGGCAGAGGACACAGCATTCCTCTTCCCATCAACCCTGGCCCTCTCAAAGCACAGGTCAACTCACATAAACTAACTTACTGTGGATTTCATTTATACTGTAAACACATGCAAAGTGATTTGAAGCAGGGCGCTGTCTGAGTGTGTGTTGTGGCTGCCGTGCAGGTGGAGAGTGACTATGAAGCAGAGGATCATGACATAAAGACACAAACTCAAAGTGGAGGCACCATTGCTGTTGTCAATAAGACTGTCCAACCTGTGCAGCAAGGAACCTCTTCGTCATCATCAGTATCTTCATCAGTGTCCACAGTGTCTACCTCGGTGAATGTGAACGCAAAGCCTCGTCCTGTAGTGATAAAAGGTAATAACATTGCACAACACACTAACATTCTCCAGCTAAATGGAAAATTTGGTCCTTTACTCCCCTTCTATAAAGTCTTGATTTGTTTTTGGGGTCTTATTTTTCACACATTTTACATTATTGCAGCACCTCTCTTCCAGTCTGTCAGTAACACTCTGGTTTAGTTCCTGTCTCTATGAAGCCCCTCCTTCTGAACAACACAATGTGCTCTGATTGGTTGGATGGACTGGTGTGCTGTGATTGGTCAACCGCTTCGAGCCTGTTTTGTTAATGTCACGCCCCCTTACCTTAACCATGAGTTTCAACACACTACAAGCCTCGGCCCTTTTTTGCGTATGCCTTCTATTTGTAGGTTCAAAATTATTTAAATGAGGAATATTGTGACGTTCGTACCAGGAAGAAAACTCAAGACTACAATGGAGGCGTTTCAGGGAGTTCAGAAACAGTGACACTGATATAGAGAATAACTCCCTTTGGAGTGACTTTGTGCTTTGCAGAGCTTTTTCATGCCCAAACAGCAACATTACACACTAAAGACAGTTGAAAGTGTAAGAAAGCATGATAGGTCTTTTAAGTGTACTGATCTTACTTTCTCTTCTTCTGCGGTTTGTCAGAATCAGCTCCCCTGGATCCTCGGTGTCTGCTCAGTCTCAGTCAGGGTTCCTGTAGAGACTACATCATTCGCTGGTACTACGACAAACAGGCAAACGCTTGTGCTCAGTTCTGGTATGGAGGCTGTCAGGGCAACGACAACCGTTTCCACACTGAAGAAGAATGCAAGAAGACGTGTGTCCTCACCAGCACAGGTATTATTCACTCCTGCAGACATGACACATTCTGCAGCTGTTATAAAACACAAATATTGAAGTAAATAAATATTGTCAATAGGCTGATAAGTATCATACGAATTATATTTTATAACATAAAATAATAATGAATACAAATTATATTAAATATGTTTTTATTATTACCATTTATATTGAAAAAATATAAATTGAAAAACATAAAATGCAATAATTCAAATACAGCAAAAAATCTAGTTAAAATATTCAAGGTTTTCTATTTTTACATATTTAACTATTTTCATGCACATGCACCAATATAATAATAAACGAAAAACATAAATATGAATTCTCATAGTTAAAATAAATCTTTAGGGAATGTTCTAGGTTTAATACAAGTTAAGCTCAGTCAACAGCAGCGTTGTGATTATTATTGCAATTATTATTGTTACATTTATTGAAATTAAGCCTTAAAAACTTTTCATTCTGGCCAGTGTTGCTATTGTTAACTAAAACTAAATAATTTAATAATTGAAATTATTGTCTGTAATTGAAAAAAGCTGAAATAATATCAAATATGATTGTTAGATGAAAAAAATGTCAACTTAAAAATTAGAGCTGTTGCTTTAGCAACTAACTGAAAAAGTTTTATACTGTATATTTAAAAAATTAAAAACGCATAAAAAAAATTCACAATCACATAACAAAATTACTAAAACTTAATCTAAAATGAAAACTGAAATTCAAAATATTAAATAAAAATATAATATTATTTAAAAACATACTAAAATAACATAATTTGTGCATTAATACCAATTAAATTTAATATAATTTTTATACAAAATAAATTATACCTAAAACACATTTACATAAACTAATGTATGGAACTGAATTGATTCTGTTCCGGAAGGTTTAAAAGCAGAAATGTGAAATTATTTTTGCTAAAGCACTGTGGATTATTTTGTATTATTTAGGATTTGAACAATAAAGTTGTCTAAAAAAAACTTTTGGCAATGCATTACAGACGCAATACTTGAGAACATTATATAACAAATACTGTCAAAAACAGAACTTTCCTTTAAAATGTGCAAAACTTTACATCTTTCTGGCATCTTTTACTGACTTTTTCTGCCTTTGTTTTTATAGCTGGCTAAACTGGATGAAGATCTACATCGGTCATTCTACACTCAACCTCAATAAATGAACTTTATGCTGGTGATGATGTACCTCGATGACAGATGCCCCCTTCAGTCACTTCTTTTTATATCCTAAAAATGTTCCCCAACTTTAAATCTTTCCCGCCAGCGATTTTTATTTAAAAAAAGTTGCTAGCCAACACCAGCATCTTTGATCATTTTTCAAAAAAACTTTCATGGCCTCCAGAATATTTTGTTGTAAGAATATCTGAACCTACAATATATTAAAAAAAATGAACAGAGCCTCTGCTTTGAAAACAAACAAACAAAAAACATTTTATTCTAGATTTATCCATTCTTTTTTATCAAAACTTGAATAATGAGTAAGTTTCACCAAAAAAAAAAAAAGCTGAGAAAATCGCATTTTTGTTAAAGACTAACGTTACTTCTGGAGCGGATTCAGAACGATAATCAAAACATAGATCGAGTCCATCGACGCCCCAAAGCATCACAGTCCTGTACCTCTTCCTAGGTCGACATTTCATTCAGTGACATTAGGCAGTTTTGATTTATGTGCTGTTGAATGTTTGATGATCACATTAGCTTACATGCGCGTGAGCTTACGCAATGGCTTGTTGTTTCTGCTTCTTCTTCGCTTGTTTTTGGATCAGGAGATTCTGTACTCTTTCAAAACATGCGCAATAGCGCCCCCTACCGTATCCACCTTATTCCTGACAAGCTTACTGCGTTTTGAATTATGGGCGGCACTTCCGGTTTGGGGAACTTCCATTCAAAAAGACTGAAACGAATCATTTCAAATCATAAGGTTGCCCTACAAATAAACCTGATCCGTCAGTTTGACTTAATGAGCAATCAGTTTTCTTTCATGTTTTATCTAAGAATAACATGAGAATAACGTAACACTTGGTATTTTAACGTGACATGTTATAACAAGAATATCCATAGTAAGAGCTCTGCATTCTTTTCCTCATGATTATTTTCTTTTTTTCCTTTTGAATTCCGCTGTAATAGTATGACAAAGGTCAACACATACTGCACATTTGTGGTCTGTTCTCCCGATTTAATTTACTATGTATACCATTAATAATTCACTGGGATCCTCTCCAAATCCTCACGTCTCTTTCCAGGTTTGGTTTCACGGGTAAATACAATTTATTATCTGTCAAAATGACTGAAATCACTTTAAAATAGTATCACGTAATGCTGAAGTAAAACACTTTTTTATTAAGGCAACGTTACATAATACAGATCACCACAGTGATATTTAACCGACCGATTTAGCTGTGGAAAGTTGCTTTTGAGATTATTCATGGTCTGTTGAAAGTTAGCTTGTTGATGCTTTTACACTTTTAAATGTCCTTTTAATGTTCAATGGTTGAAGGGTGAGTAGAATAATGTAATGTCATCGTAAAAGGTTTAAAAATCTATTATTGCGTCCATAGAGCTTAGTCTTTCACTGATTGTTTACATCTTACCGGAAGTTACACCCATAATTCGCGCAAAGCGTCATGGGGCGCAGGAATACTGTGGATAACAGAGAAAACATGGATTGCCGGAAAATGTCGTCAATGACTAGGAAAAAGTTCAAGTGTTATTTCAACCAAAAAAAAAAAATTCTGTCGCCCTCATGTCGTTTCAGACCCGTAAGACTCTCGTTCATCTTCAGCCCATAAATGAATGATATTTCTGATGAAATCTGAGAGCTTTCTGTCCCTCTATTGACAGCTACACAACCGACACTTTGACGCTTCAAAATGTTCATAAAGAGATTATAAAACTAATCCATATGAATTGAGCGTTAAGTCCAAATTTCAGCTCACGCATCAGTTGTGGTAAACGGAAGCTCAAGCATGTTCGCTTGACTTGCGGGAACCAATGAGGTTCATTCTCGTGTTACGCATCACGTTTGAGCTTCAGCAAGAACCAATGAGGTTCATTCTCGTGTTACGCATCACGTTTGAGCTTCAGCAAGAACCAATGAGGTTCATTCTCGTGTTACGCATCACGTTTGAGCTTCAGCAAGAACCAATGAGGTTCATTCTCGTGTTACGCATCACGTTTGAGCTTCAGCAAGAACCAATGAGGTTCATTCTCGTGTTACGCATCACGTTTGAGCTTCAGCAAGAACCAATGAGGTTCATTCTCGTGTTACGCATCACGTTTGAGCTTCAGCAAGAACCAATGAGGTTCATTCTCGTGTTACGCATCACGTTTGAGCTTCAGCAAGAACCAATGAGGTTTGCATGTACGATTGAGCTTTTGTTTATGTTCGCTAGCCTATCATAAAGTGATCGAGTCTCTTCAGAAAATTTGGACTAAACTAATTCATATGGATTAGTTTTACAATCTCTCTATGAACTTTCTGAAGCGTCAAAGTGGTAGTTGCGTAGCTGTCAATGGAAGGACAGAAATTTATTTAAATTTCATCAAAAAGATCTTCATTTGTGAAGATGAACGAAAGTCTTACGTGTCTTATTTGTAGTAATACATTTCTTATTTGTCTTGGTATCCACTGAGAATCTGTGCACTGCTCTACATGTGACAATTGTGACATGCAGAAAAATTATTTACAACCTTCACTGGGAATTGATTGTATATATATGTTTTGTTTTATTTAAAAATGATATACAATTTGTGACTTGAGAAAAGACAGGCAGGATTCAGCAGGTTGCAGAAACATCATAAATTATGTCTTGAGGGTTTTATAGGGATATTGTCATTTTGTAGGGAGTAAAAGAATATAAAGCAGTCAAGTCACTAAGTTGTAATAATGTAAATGCAATTATGATTTTCAAAACCGACAACATTTTGTATATATTCTTTTTTCATGTGTCACAGTGGCTTTATAGTGTTATTCAGGCAAGATAGTTTTGCAATCCTGAATTTTGTATTCAAAATAATTGTTGTCATTTTTTTTATGAACCAACCCTTTTCGAATTGTTGTCTGAAATAATTGTAGACATGGACATTTTGACTGTTTTATGCAAATTATATATTTTAAGGTATTCTTTTGTGAAATTCTTGAATAAAATATTTGTTTAGTAATGATGTCTAACTTTGTGCTTGTTTCTGAACATCTGTAACCAAAATAATTCACAAGTAACTATCATTTAATTTATTATAGTCATATAATATTCTAATGTAGATAGCTGATTTAAACATATGAATCCTGACAGCTTAATATAGCTAGTATATACTATAATATACACTCACCGGCCACTTTATTAGGTACACCTGTCCAACTGCTCGTTAACACTTAATTTCTAAGCAGCCAATCACATGGCGGCAACTCAGTGCATTTAGGCATGTAGACATGGTCAAGACAATCTCCTGCAGTTCAAACCAAGCATCAGTATGGGGAAGAAAGTTGATTTGAGTGACTTTGAACGTGGCATGATTGTTGGTGCCAGAAGGGCTGGTCTGAGTATTTCAGAAACTGCTAATCTACTGGGATTTTCACGCACAACCATCTCTAGGGTTGACAGAGAATGGTCCGAAAAAGAAAAAACATCCAGTGAGAGGCAGTTCTGTGGGCGGAAATGCCTTGTTGATGCCAGAGGTCAGAGGAGAATGGCCAGACTGGTTCGAGCTGATAGAAGGGCAACAGTGACTGAAATAACCACTCGTTACAACCGAGGTATGCAGCAAAGCATTTGTGAAGCCACAACACGCACAACCTTGAGGCGGATGGGCTACAACAGCAGAAGACTCCACCGGGTACCACTCATCTCCACTACAAATAGGAAAAAGAGGCTACAATTTGCAAGAGCTCACCAAAATTGAACAGTTGAAGACTGGAAAAATGTTGCCTGGTCTGATGAGTCTCGATTTCTGTTGAGACATTCAGATGTTAGAGTCAGAATTTGGCGTAAACAGAATGAGAACATGGAACCATCATGCCTTGTTACCACTGTGCAGGCTGGTGGTGGTGGTGTAATGGTGTGGGGGATGTTTTCCTGGCACACTTTAGGCCCCTTAGTGCCAATTGGGCATCGTTTAAATGCCACGGCCTACCTGAGCATTGTTTCTGACCATGTCCATCCCTTTATGGCCACCATGTACCCATCCTCTGATGGCTACTTCCACCATGTCACAAAGCTCTAATCATTTCAAATTGGTTTCTTGAACATGACAATGAGTTCACTGTACTAAAATGGCCTCCACAGTCCCCAGATCTCAACCCAATAGAGCATCTTTGGGATGTGGTGGAACGGGAGATTCGCATCATGGATGTGCAGCCGACAAATCTGCGGCAACTGTGTGATGCCATCATGTCAATATGGACCAAACTCCCTGAGGAATGCTTCCAGCACCTTGTTGAATCTATGCCACGAACAATTGAGGCAGTTCTGAAGGCAAAAGGGGGTCCAACCCGTTACTAGCATGGGGTACCTAATAAAGTGGCCGGTGAGTGTATATATATAAAGCATATAAAAGTATTCATATATAGTAATAAAGGAATGGTTTTGTGACTGAGTAAAAAAACTGAGTAGATCTACTTTTAGATCTTCGACGTTTGTCCCTCGCGGCCCGCCGTACTCACTGATGTTACCGTGGTGACGTGAAGACGCTGTGCTCTGTGCTAAATCCTCTTACCGAGCGAGTGAGAGGGTTTCAGTTCTTATCAGAGGAAAAACATATTTACTTTGGTTTAATTCGCTTATAAAACGCTGTCTGATCATGGCGTCAGTGTTAGACGCACTCTGGGAGGACAGAGACGTGAGATTTGACATTACTCCGCAGTAAGTCCTCTCGCTAATCTACTAAGTTAGCTGAGAAGCTAATGGCATGAATGCATTAAATCAGATAACAGTTACATTAACAGTGAACTAGCAGGACACTTTCTGCGTCGATGGATGTGCATTAACCGTGCAAGTGTTTCCCTAGTGGTGCGCTTGAAACATTCATGTTTGTTTACATTAATCATTCATGCATTTGAGTCAGTGAATTTAAAAGTGATAAAGTGTCTTTAAATATTTTAAAGATTTCAGATCAATAAGGTGTTTATAGTTAAACTATCACCAGGGTTATTATCGTAAATGTTCACTAAAACTATTAAACACATTTGTGTTCATTTAAATAAAGTTGAAAAAATAAAAATAAATATTAGATGAAAAACAAACTAGAAAATTAGAAATTGTGTCTTGGCAACTAACTGAAATAAGTTGAAAATCTGGAAATAAACAACTAAACTAAATTAATCCTAAATAGTAATATTAAAAACTAAAAAAAAAAATGCCAAAAGCACACAAACAAACAAAATGACTAAAAATTAAACTACAACTAAAATAAAAAAGGAAATATTAAAATAATGGCTAATAAATCAATAACAATTATTATAGTATAAATACTAAAATAATACTATTATGTATGATTATAACATATTAATAAATATAAAAATGCATGTAAAAAATATAATCATGCGTTCAGGATTGTAACACTTTTTTACATTTTAATTTGATACTGTTTTACACTTTTATTTTCATTACATGTGCAAAATAAGGTGCAAAGGTGCTTCCTAGAAAAGAAAATGCTTTATACAAGCATCCACTTTATAAAATCATGGTAGTGTATCTGTACTTATATTGTAAAATAACCCATTTAGGCCTGGTTTCACAGACAGGATTAAGTCATTAGTTTAATTAGGACATTTAAGTAGCTTTTATAAACGTCCCTTTTACTGATGTGAATCCTAAGACAAAACAATGGCAGTGACAGATTTTAAGATATGTCAGTGTAAGTTGTTTTCAGTTAAAACAGCTCAAACATGCATTTTAGTCTGGGACTAAACTTAGGTTAGTGTTTTATTTTCCTCTCAGACAACAGCAAGTGATTTGATGTTTGTTTTAAGGCAGATGAAAACCAGACCGGGCGAAGCGCTCATCGACTGCCTGGATTCCATCGAGGACACAAAGGGAAATAATGGCGATAGAGGTGATTAAATGTGGCCATGTCATCCTAATTAGATTATTGTCGTGTAAAATATCATTAATTGTCTTGTTTATATATTGTATATTGTTTTGGTTATTGTAATGTCACGTCTTGTTTTGTCTTATAGGAAGACTCCTGGTGACCAATTTGAGGATAATCTGGCATTCATTGGCACTACCAAGAGTCAATTTGTGTGAGTATTTGAGTAATATTAATAATCTCTGTTGCAGCTCCTCATAGAGAGCCTTTGTCGCCCTCTTTTGAACAGAATATAATTAGGGTTAATTACTACAATGAAAAGATTTAAAACTCCATCTTTTATTGAACGGGACAGATGTAGCCCTCTCAAAAACATCATTTTGAATGATTGTTTTCTTGTTTTTTTAAGTAAAAATTGTATTTGTGATTTAATCATTCGTGCATCAGAGGGATGTTTACTATCAGTTGATGGCAGAACCGTCAATCATTATCTGACACATTCTGTCTTTTGTTTTTATTAACAGCTGTGGGACACAACTGTATTATTAATATCACCACGAGGACAGCAAATTCAGTAAGTCATCTTCCTTCACGTTCTTTAACATCAGAATCACTTTTTAATAGCCCATATACATGATATCCCTCTTTTTTTCCAGAAACTGAGAGGTCAGACCGAAGCGCTTTACATATTAACCAAATCTAATAACACTAGATTTGAGTTCATATTCACGAACGTGGTTCCAGGAAGTCCGAGACTGTTTACATCTGTCATTGCTGTTCACAGGTACTTGTGTTATACATAATGGGGCTATCCTTCAAATAAATTTCAAAATTTCAAATAATGACAAGATGAGTGACAGTTGTCTTTAATTTTTTTTTTTTTTTTTAATTTAAGTTGGCATATTGGCTTTGTTTTTGTTAATTAAAGGACTAATCTTTAAATCTACAGTATAGCGAGATCTGTAGTTTAATCTAGAAAGCACTCAAGGAAATTTATTCTGTGAATTGCATAATATTAAATACCACATTTTTTATGTAAACAGTTCAAAAGTATTGTTAGAACAAAATATGTTTTAGTCATTTTAAAATTTTTATAAGATGTAGTCATGGGTATGTATTGTAAGATTAAAGAGCGACAAGCTATATTTATTTAGCACAGCACACAAAAGATACCACAAAAATATGGTCACCTTTTTATAATAATAGAAGAAATATTATTATAGGAAAATGTCAAAAAAAAGGAAATGCAATTTTGCACAAGATAAAGCATCGAACAAATAGCTAAAAAAAAAAAAAATCCAAAAATGATCATGTTGAAATGATTGGAATGTCAATTGAATACATTTATTAATTTACTTTTATTTGTTTAGTTGACCCAAATAATATTACTAGGACATGTAAAGTATTAGATACAATAAGGTATATAGAATATTTATCAAACTAATTATTTATTTTTCTTGCAGAGCTTATGAGACTTCCAAAATGTATCGGGATCTGAAGCTAAGAGGAGCTCTTATTCAGAATAAGCAGCTGAGGCTTCTGCCACAAGAGCAGGTTTATGACAAAATCAACGGAGTCTGGAACCTGTCTAGTGATCAGGTATTTTCAGTGGATTTACAATGTTATTATTTATTGTTTTTATTATAAAGCCTGTTGCTGTGACCTTAACCTTTATACTTTCCTCCGGTCATTTTGACCCGAAAAAATTCATTTTCTTTTCATTCTTAAAAGTTGAGTGTTCATTGGAGAGGTCAGTTTTGTCTCACTTGAAATTGGAATACGCACAAAAAAATGAATGGATTTAAGGTGATTTTGTGGATGTAATAAAAATAGTAATAAATCCTTTCCTCATGGGTCAATTTGACCCCCATAGGAATGAATGGAAAATGTGGAAAATGTTTTTTTTATTTAAAATCTGGCTCAATCCAAAACACACACACACACACACACACAGATGAAGGGGTAAGACCGTAAAACATCCCCAATGCAGAACACCCGCATGCATACACACACATGTACACACAAACACACACCAAGAAATAGCCTTGAAAATAAATGGGGGGCATATAATGGGGCAATGTTTTCTTTCTTTTCATTTTTTTCAATTTTCAAAAAAAGATCAAATGCTCATTTGCTCCATGTAGACTAGAGCTTTACGGCCATCTAGTGGCAATAGTCATGAAATGCCATGTTATATATATTTTCTTTCCTCAAGAGCTCAGCAGAGACACCCAATGCATGATTGTTTTATTAACTAAATGTTTTATTTTATTTGCAGTTATTTTGTATTTAAGTGGAAGAATGTGCTTATTTGTATTGTTAAATTCATTATTGTTAAAATCTAGTTTTAACATTTAGAGGTAATTTAGAGGTATTTAGAGGTAAATAAAATAATAAATAACAAAAAAATCTCCCAGAAAAATTACATAAAATATATATATATATATATATATATTATCAGAATGAAATGATATAGGCATTCTGGACCACACTTTTTTGAAGAAGTGTAATTTGAATGCGTCGGGTCATTTTGACCCACGAGGGAAGGATGTATAATGCACACGAGAGGACAGCAATAAGCATTGCCTTGTGTTTCAGGGTAATCTTGGAACGTTTTTCATTACTAACGTGAGGATAGTGTGGCATGCCAACATGAACGAGAGCTTCAATGTCAGCATTCCCTATCTGCAAATTGTGAGTGTTTCTTCTGCTTTAAAAAAGTCAAAGAATGAGCCCTCAGTAATGAGTTGTATTTATAAAAACCATGCTTTCTTTTCTTATCCCTTTGTTTAAAGCGCTCCATTAGGATTAGAGACTCTAAATTTGGACTAGCTCTTGTGATTGAGAGCTCTCAACAGGTAGGTGTGGACCAGGATCCAGATCGCCAGAAAAAAACACCTATAATGACACCAACATTTTATTTAATGCATAATTATTCTTAAAATGATGATTATTATTTGATTTGGTAATGAATAAAAGAAGGTATTTGTGCACTATTGTTCAAAATTTTATGGTCAGTATGATTTTTTTTTTTAAATGAATGCATTTATTTAGCAAGGATGCGTTACATTGATGAGTGATATTTATAATGTTACAAGATTTCTATTTCATATAAATGCTGTTCTTTTGAACTTTCCATTCATCAAAGAATCCTGAAAAATATGTATCAGGTTTTCCACAAAAATATTAAGCAGCACAACTGTTTTCAACATTGATAATAATAAGAAAAGAGCAGTAAATCATCATATTAGAATGATTTCTGAAGGATCATGTGACACTGAAGACTGGAGTAATGATGCTGAAAATTCAGCTTTGCATCACAGGAATAAATGACTTTTTAAATTAAAAAACGTTTAAATTGTAATAATATTTCACAATATTACTGTTTTTACTGTAATAAATAAAATGCAGCCTTGGTGAGCACAATAAACTTCATTCCAAAAGCACTTTAAAAAAACCTTACCGACCCCAAACTTTGGAACTGTTGTCCATGTGGATTTAATTCCCTGGTGTGAATTGAAGCCAACATTTTGTGATTTGTTTCATTTTTTTCATGTTTTTTCATCTCTCAGACAGGAGGATATGTGCTGGGTTTCAAGATCGATCCAATGGACAAGTTACAAGATGCAGTGAAGGAAATCAACTCCTTACACAAAGTGTACTCTGCAAACCCCATTTTTGGAGTGGAATATGAGATGGAAGAAAAGGTAGTAACAAATATTTGTGTTCATGTATAGTGAAATTTGTGATAATATTGAAAAGAGTTGTTTTGGAACTGTATTGGTATTCCATTCCGAGTTGTATTTAAAACACCATTAGCCGAGGTGCGTCTCTGTTACCGATGCCTCCACTTTTCTGTAAATCAAAGGCAAATAGCCCATCAATAAGATTTGAATAAATGATCTTTCTTCTCAGCCTCAGCCTCTGGAGGAGCTGACCGTAGAGCAGCCGCCTGATGACGTGGAGATTGAGCCAGATGAGCACACGGATGCTTTTACCGTGAGTTTTACCTCATATGCTACTCTCAGAGATAATGACGCTCCGCTTTCAGCACATAGTGCGGTGTGTGTGTGTGTGTGTCTCACATGCTGAAAATAGCTGACGGCTTAAGCCACGACTCACAATGTCCCACCAACACAGACTTTTGTTGCCAGGTATCAACAATGTTTACGCAGAGGTCGGATGATTCTGACATTGGAAATGTTCTTTATCTAAGATTTACCTTAGATTTTATTACATATATAATCACTGATTTTGATCTCTTTTTCATCTCAAGGCTTATTTTGCAGATGGAAATAAGGTAAATCTATTGTCTATCTGTCTGTCCATCTATCTATCCATCTGTATGTCTATATATCCTTTTAAATGACTTTTTTTTTCCTCTCCTTAAGCAACATGATCGTGAGCCGGTGTTTTCTGAAGAGCTGGGTCTGGCTATAGAGAAACTGAAGGATGGATTCACACTACAGGGACTCTGGGAAGTCATGGGTTAAAATACTCAAGCACTCTGTACAGTTATGTATTGCATAGTTTGATACATTGTTTACATCAAACATCAAGAATTTTGTAATTAGCTAAATTTGCATTTATTTTCAGAATATTTATTTGCTATTTGATAATTACATATGTTTACAAATCATATTTTAACCATGTGTAAGTTGAGAAAAAACAAGTTACTTTTGTATAATATATGAATGTATGCATATAAATAGAAAAAATATATATATACTGTATGTATATTTGTATATTAGAAACTGTAAGCTTGTTTTGTGCAGAGAACTTTACATGCTAATTTTGCTGTTGTATTGTAATAAAAGTATGAGAGAATGTGAAGTAGGAAATATTTTTTTGTGTTTAATCCGTTTTCCAATACCCGGTTTTGATAGCCGTGTCTTGATCAAACATCCTCACATTCTGTTTTTAGCTCGGGTTTGACAAAGTCTGGTTAAAAATGTATTAAATGAGCTCAACTACTTCACAAATGACCAGAAGCGCTGATAATTGCTTTCTGGCTTCACGGCAGCTGTTGTTTGCTGACCCTTTAAGCAACAAAATGTTAAAACATAAAATAATTTTTTCATGTTGATCCAAACTTGTGTGCTGTCGTTTTTCCTGTGAAACAAAAATGTCAAATTAAACTTATTTCCTACTTACGATGCATTTAATAGGCTGCAAAGCACCAAAAAGAACAAACATATACACAACACAACACATACTCAATAGATAGCATAAATAATGACAGAATTTTTGGCTGAACTTTTCCTGACGTGGATTAAGTAGGCTAAAACCTGAACGAGTCAGAACTATAAACTCGTTTTTGAGAGTCGTACAAATGAGGGCAAATGCAAAACAAAAGTAATGACACACACCTATATGATTATTTAAAACTCTTAGACATCTGTTGAATTCCTACTAATGTGTCACTCTCAAACACGCATTCGTTTTCCCTTTACAAAACACCCCTGACCTCTGAGTGTGTCCAAGGCTCACAGTTGTCTTTTTTAGTCTTTGACAGCTGCCTGATGCGGCTCCCGTTTAGTCAGCCTGAATTCTTTCTGACGGTATGAGGGGTTTATATTTAGAGGGTTGTACTTAAATTGCAGGGGGTTTGTGTTGGTGCTGTGTTATTTCAGCCTCTTACACTTGAGACGGCGAGACAAGAGGAAGTACCGCATCCTCTTTGAGACCTGCAACCTTAGAGATGGAACCAGTGAGTATCAAGGAGGACCTGAGGCTCTTTCAGAGCACTCTTCTCCAGGATGGTTTAAAGGAACTTCTGAAGGAGAACAAGTTTGTGGATTGTTTTCTAAAGGTTGGAGATCGGAGTCTTCCCTGCCACAAACTCATAATGGCAGCGTGCAGCCCGTACTTTCGAGAGCTGTACTTTACTGAGGACGGGGTTGAGAAGAAAGACTCCAGCAAGGAAGTAGTGCTGGAGAACGTGGATCCCGCCATTATGGAAATGATTGTGCACTATCTCTATTCTGCAGACATCGAAATCACAGATGAGAACGTGCAAGACATCTTCGCAGTCGCCAACAGGTTTCAGATCCCATCCGTTTTCACCATTTGCGTCAACTATCTACAAAACAAGGTGTCTTTGGGGAACTGCTTGGCCATCTTCAGAATGGGACTGGTCTTGGACTGCCCAAGGCTCGCTGTGTCCGCCAGGGACTTCATAGCGGAGCGTTTTGAGACTTTGTCCAGGGAAGAGGACTTTCTTGAGTTCAACGCTCCCGAGCTGTTCGCCATCATCGGGTGCGATTCTCTGAACGTGGAAAAAGAAGAGGTCGTGTACGAGCTCTTGATGAAATGGGTCCGGAAGAACAAGGAGACCCGGGCGATCGCTTTGGGAGATGCCTTCGAGCACATCCGCTTCCGACTCCTACCGGAGAAATACTTCAAGGAGAAAGTGGAAAAGGATGACATCATCAAGGCCGACCCTGAGCTCCTCAAGAAGCTGAAGATCATCAATGAGGCTTTTGCTGGAAAACTTCCACAAATGAAGGAGGGCGAGAAAGGCGAAGGAGAAGAGGGGGGGAATAAATTGCCCGGTTATCTGAATGACAACAAACGGTTAGGGATGTTCACCAGGGATCTCATACTGATGATAAGTGACACGGCAGCTGTGGCCTATGATGCTAATGAAAACGAATGCTTCCTAGCAGCGCTGGCAGAGCAGATACCGCGAAACCACGTTAGCATTACGTCAAAGAAGAACCTGCTCTATGTTGTGGGAGGGCTGTTTGTGGACGAGGACGACGAGGATTCACCACTGCAGTGCTATTTCTATCAGGTTAAGACGGTCATTTATAGTATAATGGTCGTTTCAAAACTGTCTCGTTCTCCTTGTAACAATAATGAAGGTATCTTGCAGGAAATCTAGTTTTTTTTTTTTTTTTTTACACACAATCAAGAAGAATCGAGATGGGCTGTCAAAAAAGAAATCTGGTTTTGTCATATTTTAACCCCTTTGAAAGGGAGTTAGAACTGCTTTTAACCCCAGTACTTACAAACTCACAGTACACAGGCTTGCCTCATTATATAATTATATAAAAAAACATTATATAATATGCATGCAACCATATTAAATATTCATATTCATCAGAGGAAGTCCAATAAGAATGTTATTTATCCAAAATATATAAGAATTTTATCCCAGGATTTACAAATGTACAGAATACATCAAAATCTATGAAACATTAAATGTATTTTATAAATGTATATATTTGAATTAATTTTTTTTCATATATTCCATTTTCATTTTAGCTAAAGTTTTAGTAATTTTGTTTTGTGTTTATGTCTATAGTTTAGTTTTAGTTATTTTAGTACATCAAGTTAAACTAAAATGAAAATGAGAAATGTTGCCTTAATATTTCATTTTATTTCAGTTATTGTTTATTTTATTTCAAGTAACAATAATGTTTTATGGTGTTAGTTTTAGTTCAGAATGACTCTGGGTTAACATTTTATAGTGTGAAAATCTCATTTTTGTGTTCTATCGTGGTTTGGAATGACATGAGGGCTAGTAAATGATGACACGATGAACTATTCATTCAATTGCGTGTCTTCATATTTCTAGGAATTGGAATTAGGTGGAAAGGCGTATATGTACGGAGGCCTAAATCACCAGGGAGAATAGAATGAAAGTTATTTACATTTGTAAATCATTTTAAATCATACGTTTTCTTCAGCTGGACACTCATTCTCCGAACTGGATTGCCCTGCCACCGATGCCATCGCCCCGGTGTCTGTTCGCCATGGGCGAGTTTGAAAACTTCTTGTTTGCAGTTGCTGGCAAAGACCTGCAGACCAGCGAGTCTCTGGACTCAGTGCTGTGTTATGATGTTGAGTAAGTTTCTTCTACATTTTCTGCTTCATACATAAACCAAAAAACGAATTATGTTTTGCTGTTCTCGGCAGTAAGATGAAGTGGCTGGAGACCAAAAAACTGCCCTTAAGAATTCACGGCCACAGTGTGATCTCACAGAACGGACTAGTGTACTGCATAGGAGGAAAGACGGATGAAAAGTAAGTCAAACTTGAGTTAAGATGAGCTTAAATACAAAATAAAAGCCTGAGATAAAGTGTCATTGCTTGTTTTCATCTCTGGAATAGTAAAACCATCAACAAGATGTTTGTGTACAACCACAAGAAGTCAGAATGGAAAGAGCTGGCAGGCATGAAGACACCCAGGTCCATGTTTGGAGTCGCCGTCCACAAAGGAAAGATCATTGTGGTTGGAGGAGTCAATGAAGATGGCCTTTTAGCCTCTTGTGAAGCGTTTGACTTTTCAACAAACAAGTACGTATTAATCACTAGTTGTTTTTATTGATATTTAATCCTGAAACACGTTTATTAAAAGGCGTACAGATGCTCTAAATTAAAGCTAAAGTTAGCCAGCGCTCAGTGAATGATTAAAAGTTAGCTTGCAATTTTTTTCTGCTATATTTTGAAATACTGACATTATCGTAGTCATAACATTTAACACCTCAAAACATCACAGAATTCTGCAAATCTATTGATAACACTTTCTGATTTGAGCCATTATTTTCCCTCCAAAATAATGTCACTTCCTGGAGGATGATGTCAGAAAGGAACTGGCTTTTGTTAAAGTGATATTACATAGATTGACAGGATTGAAAAATAAAATCCCAGGCAACAATTTTTGGTTTCGAGAACGTTCCCTGAATGTTAGTTTTTGGTTCCCAGAACGTTATTTTTTTAAGGTTTGTTTTTGGGCTAGACAGGAAAATTTTTCTTAACATAAATAGAACGTTATTTCTGGTTTGTAGAACGTTATTTTTACATTACTTTAATGTTCTCCTAACGTTATTCTAATGTTCTCAGACATTCCCCTAATCTCTTTACTCCGATATCATTACCTCGCTGTAACCTTATTTTACATGGGTATTAAGTAATAACCTAAAAATAACCATTAGGGAACGTTCTGTATAAGTTATTTTTATGATATTTAAAAATAACCCCCCTTTGGGAACATTATTTTATGGTTGCAAAAAAAAAAAAGAACATTCCTTGAACGTTATTATTTGGTTCTCAAATAAAACGGGACACCAAACTGGAACCAAATACTAACATTAGGGGAACGTTCTGTTTGCTGGGATTAGAGGGCAAACCTATAAAATCATCACCAATTAAAACAATATTTCCAAGAAAACATGTTTTATTTGAAACATTTTGATTAGAGAAAGAACATTGAAACAAAAACTGGAATTTTTCTTTTTTTATTAAAGAAGTTGAATAACAATGACAAAAATTTGAGGTATTGTGACATTTATCTTATGGGATACAGCAGACGTTATCCTCTAAAAATCTGATAAATCTATCAGAATCAGTAAAAGCCATGTTGTTTTTCCCAATAGATGGGAGGCGTTCCCTGAGTTTGCTCAGGAGAGAAGCTCTGTGAATGTGGTCAGTTCTGCTGGTGTGCTGTATGTGGTGGGCGGCTTCACTGTGAAAGAGAACGACGACAAACAGTGTGTCCCGTCAGAAATCACAGACATCTGGCAGTAAGTGTTCTTCTTGACACACATCTGAATTATATTCGTCTTAAAGCAATAGTTCACCCAAAGAACGTGCGTACGGCCGTTGCCAGAAGCTGGCGATTATAGTTGAATTGATTATATTTGAATACAGGGGCGTAGCCATCATTTCAAAAGTGAGGGGGACAGAATGTCAAGTGTAATCACTTTTTTTTCTCCAGACTTTTGTTGACAGGTTAATTGGCTTAATATGCTATTTATTTTTAAAGCTATAAAACAGAAAGAAAGAAATGCAGACGTTCAGTAGGCCTACTTTATATTGCACATGCAGGGTTTTTCCTGGCTTAAAACGAGGCGGAGGTGGTAAAATCCTGATCATGTATTTTAATTCGATAATAACATTTTTATTTTTCGTAGACCATCATATAGCCTGGGTTTCCCACAGTATTTTTGTAGGTGGATCTCGGTACTTCTAGGGGGGTTCGGGGGCATGCTCCCCCGGAAGAAATTTTTGTACATTTTAAAGATAAATTCATTAATCTGGTGCACTTTGAGTCCCCCGAATCCACTGTTAAAAATAAATAATCCACCCGTCAACCGCCCAAACAAATGATATTCTCTGATTTAGATATCATGATCATCGCATTACAATTATTCAAATTATCAGTGTTACTGTTAAGCATGATAATATGGTTAAATATCACACTGAAGTAGGCTGATTTAAAAATAACATTTACTTAAAATAAAAGTTCTTCTTTTGGCAAAATAACGTTTCCTTAATAGCCTAAAGTCTGTCTTACTAAACTAAAACTATCCAATTGAAAACCTTCAAACGTCAAGCTTTTAAAAATACTTCAAACTTTAGTTAGGCTTTTTCAAGAGAACTAAAAGTTTGTCTACAAACTTTATCTAATTGTAAAGTGTTACCGAATTATGGTAAACATCATAGTCTACACATGATACTCCTGATTCAAGCAGATCGTGGCTGTTAATGCATGAACATGCAAATTCAGCATTAATAATCACCATGTTTATTCTAATTTGAAGGGCTTTGATAACATATCTGTGAAAATAAATGACATTACGAATAAAATAAGATTGAAAATAGTGCACGTTTGTGCGGGTATAGTGAATATTTTCAATTTACAACTAAACTTGTTAATTATTCAACTAGAGAAATAGGCAGAGTTATTCATCATTGTGCAACACAATTCGGATACCACATGACAACTTACTTACAGTGCTTGACTTTTTCGTGAAAAAGGAGTGAAGAGTTTTTTTTGCCGTTTTGAACTCTATGAAACTGATGGATTCGGCGCGGGTGCGAGCATGGGCGTGTCGTAAGCTAATGCACGAGTGACTGATTACCATGGAAGCGTGAAAGTCACGTATGTAGATAGACTATCCTTGACTCTTTGGATTTTGAATCTCATGTAGGGCAGGCTATACACACCCGCGAAAACCTCAGCTTGTCATAGACACATGCCCTATGAAAAAGTGCGAGGGACGAATTTACATTTTATAAAAAGTGGGGGGGACACGTCCCCCGCGTAATCTACGCCCATGTTTGAATATGAACCCATTGCTTCTCTTCGCATTTATTAACACACTGGAGTCGTATAGATTGCTTTTTTTGATGGATGGATGCTGTTTTTGGTGCTCCAAAAACTCTGGTGAAATTCAATGCCATTACAAAGCTGGGAAGAGACAGGATATTATTTTTTATAATAACTCTGATTGTGTTCGTCTGAAAGAATAAAGTCATATACACCTAGTTGGGATACTTTTAACTTTTGGGTGAACTATTCCTTTAAGTCTTCATACTGTTAAAAAGTTTGGGTTCAGCAAGATTTTGTTTTATCTTTTATTCAACAAGGACTTGAATTGATCAAAAGTGACAGTAAAGATATTTATAATGCTACAAAATATTTCTAATTCGAATAGTGTTCTTTTGAAAGTTCTATTCATCACAATTGTATCACGGTTTCCACAAAATTAACCAGCACAACATTGACAATAATCAGAAATCTTTCTTGAGCAGCAAATCATCATATTAGAATGATTTCTGAAGGATCATGTGACACTGAAGACTGGAGTAATGATGCTGAAAATTCAGCTTTGCATCACGGGAATAAATTAGATTTTAAAAGAGATTCAAATAGAAAATAGGCTTAATTGGTGAGCAAAATAAATGTCACGAAAATCTTACCAACCCCAAACTTTTAAACGGTACTGTAAAATGGTTAAAATCACAACAAAATATTATGATTTAAACAAGTGTATACTGGTAATGAACCATTCTAATGGGACTAAAACCGCTCTTTTTTTGACAGGTATGAGGAGGACAAGAAACAGTGGGCTGGAATGATACAAGACATGCGATACGCTGCCGGCGCCTCTTGTGTTTCTATGAGACTAAATTCAGCAAAGATGCCTAAACTTTAAAAACATCATCACTGTCATTGATTGTATCCAATAACAAACTGTAACTATATTTTAAAGAAGCATAAACCACACAAAAAAATATAGTCAATATTAAATCAAAATGTACACTATTTAACTATTCAACTCTTTCCCCGCCAGCATTTTGATCATTATCACAAAAAATTATAGACCCCAAGATATTTTGTTGTATGAATATCTGAACCTACAATATATCAAAAGAAAGAACAGAGCATCTCCTTTACAAAAAAGAAAAGAAAAATATAGCTTCATGCATTCTTTTTATCAACACTTGAATGGAGTCCATGTGTAAAAGCACCCCCTACTCGCATACAGTGGAAAAATGGATTCCCGGGAAATTGTCAATGGCAGGGAAAGAGTTAATGCACATTCCCAGTCTTTATATGTTTTAATCAAAATGTACCAAAATGTTCCTTTTAGGCTGACATTACAAATCATCCATCACTTCAAAACGGCGGTAAAATGGTGGCAAATGGTATTTCATGTTGACCTTCAACATAAAAATGACCTGATTTATATTCATGTTGGGTTCTGTTGTAAATGTGGTGCAGTTGAGGAAAACATTTATTCAATCGGATGTCAAAATTAAATGTACAGTGCTGTCTTGCAGCTCAAATGAAGGATAACCTGATGTACAATCCTTTCATAGTGTCTCCCGCTGATTGCACTAAATGTCCAGTTTAGATAATGTCTCAGGGCAACTCTGTAAATATTTTCTTCCTGAGATATTCTTTCCATGCATCTTCTGTGGAAAGCTCCATTGAGTTCCATTCAAAGTGGGGAATCTGTAGAAAAAATGCATATTATCAGCAAAAACACACTTTTGTCATGCAAATAGTATAGTATGTGTGTCAAACATTATATCTTTCTACTGACCTGTAATACTTGATATCCTAAAATCTCCAGATGTCTTTTCTTCATCATGGCCTCCCCTTTCATGTGCCGGGGATTTTTGCAGAAGGATTTGGAGTCCAAGAAATCCAAGGCAATGCTAGACAGATGAAGTAGCAGGGAAAATTATATTATGTCTGAATATTACGTGTAGTTTTGCACATTGAAGCATGACATACCGGCGAGCTCCTGGCGGCAGCTCTGTCCTCTCTCTGTCTGCTGATACAGACTGCCAGTGAACGTTTCCGTTCTCGCTGATCTGCAGCTGACTCGGCTCGCTGTACGGTACCGGCTGGAGGTGACGATCCAGGACAAGTTCAAAATCTGATGACAAAAACATTACAGTTTTCATGAGCCTACAGAGACAGCAATGCTGTATCTAGGACTGTCATCCTGTACCACTGTGTTTCTAGTCAAGTAAATCAATTCAACTCATATAATATTCAATGGTACATAACATCCCACAAATAGACAAATCATACTGACAGGTAAAATACTGACAAGATAATGCTTAAGCATGGAAATAAAATGGATAGACAGACGGATAACAATAAAAAAAATTTTTTTAAAAGAACAAATAAAACATAACATTTTCAGTTAAAACAGATGAATGAAATCTAAAATAAAAAATTGAAACAAAAAAATGTTTTCAGTTAAAATAGATGTTGGACCTTAGACCTTTATATTTATAAAAGCCCAAAGCGATGCCTGGATATATTTTATATATGAGACAAGAACAAAATACTAAACTTGGTTAAGGTAGAATCTGACAAAAAATATATTTGGTAGAAAAGGCAAACAACAGCTACAGGTTTTATTTTTAGGCAAAGAAAAGCATAGAAAAACAAAAAGCTCACAGGAAAAAGCATACATTGACTACAACAATTCATTAATATTCTATCGGTTCTCTCTTGTTTTTACATGTGTTCATAATTACTGTGTATGACAGCCTAGCCAAATATTAACTCTGTGCAATTTGGCATGTTTCATTGCATTATTATTACAAATCAAACAATTGACCCCAAGCACTACTCAATATGCTTACAAAATCTTTTTTTTTTTTTTTTTTTTATTATATCTGAATAAAGGGTGAAGATGTCAATTTTCCTAGGCTAGACACGCCTTTTGGCTATATATACAGAGCCTAAAATTAATAATCGCCAAGCACCAAATGCGAGTAAAAACCAAAGTTGGCAAGTATTTGAAACAGTCAATCCCCACTTGGCCGGTAACATTTTTATGAATTTTAACAATGCAATATTGTGAGAACATGAACGTAAACAAATGTGATTGATAGTCTTGACAGTTTATGGGCCAGAGCTGCATCGCCAGTGTTCCCATTTTAATTATTCATAAAACGACGTGAAAGGCAACTCAAAGTAGGTGTGGCAAAAAGTTATATATATATACACACACACATATCAACAATGTTAGGAATAAATAATGTGGACTATTTTACTTGTACCGCTAGTTTAACACTCACCGACAGTATAGAAGTATGGAGTCAGCACTCCGACTTTAGCACAACTGATCCCACCCAGGACGTCTCCGAGCATCTTATGGATCTGCTGCTGAATCGGACTAATCGAGCTGTTGGCTGCAGTGAGAAAAACATTCTTCAACTATTTGAACCAACCAGACTTTTTCATTTAAAAAGTTAGCTCTTACATTAAACATTTCAATCTATTTGACTACAATTATGCTTTCTTCGATAAAAAAAAAAATGAAGAAAAAAAAAGTTATTTCAAAATACATAAATCTTGATATATACAGGTGAAACTCGAAAAATTAGAATATCGTGCAAAAGTTATAATTTTGATGATTATGGCTTACAGCTTATGAAAACCCCAAATTCAAAATCTCAGAAAATTAGAATATTACATGAAATTAATTTTTAAAAAAAGGATTTTAAATACAGAAATGTCAGGCCTCTGAAAAGTATAATCATGCGTATAGTTAAATATACTTAATATATTAGATTCACCTTTTGATTTGAATTACTGAAAAACATGAACTGTTGCACGATATTCTAATTTTTCGAGTTTCACCTGTACACTGTTCAAAAGTTTGGGGTCAGTACATTTTTTTTAAAAAGAAATTAATATTTGTATCCAGCATTAAATTGCATCATGGTTTACAAAAAATATGAAGCAGTTTTTAACTTTGGAGTAATGATGCTGAAAAAACAACTTTGCATTTCAGGAATAAATTATATTTTAAAATATATTAAAATAGAAAACAGTTACTTTCAATTGTAATAATATTTTACAATATTACTGTTTTTCCTGTATTTTTGATCATATAAATGCATCCTTGGTGAGCATAAGTGACTTCTTTTAAAAATATATATTTTGTAAAAATTTTACTGACCCCAAACTTTTGAACAGTTGTGTACAAATCTTATCAAATGGTTAAAAATGATTGAAATAATTATTTTAGCTACATGGGCCAGCCGTTATTAATATTAATGTGTACCAAGCACAAATGCTTTCAGACAAGAACTGATTTCCAACTCTAGTATTTCTACGATCCAATTCTAGTCCGTTCCCGTTATCCAGCTGGATCTACGGTGTGCTCACCTCTCTTCTGCAGCCATTTACAGTAGCGCTCATGAAACCAGGGCACCTGGAACTCAGGACACTCCAGACACACGGCCCGATTCAGCTCCATGAGACGCAGGCGTATGCGCATGTTCTGAGCATCCGGCAAAGCTGGAAAAAACACACACTTGTAAAGTTTCAGGAGTGACAACCACATTTAAATACGGGAATGAGTCCCCTAAACTATTGTTCTGTGTGTGTACTAGAGGTGTAACGGACGGCAGACTGTGTGTGCGCTGCGGCGGTTCGCGTGACACTAACGTGATACCAGACTTCATTCGCCCCAATGGAAAGCATATTTACTAGGGCTGGGTATTGACACAAATTTCACAATTCGATTCGATTTCGATTCACAAGCTTGCAATTCGTTTCGGATTCGGATTCGATTCAATATTGATTATTTTGGATATCAGGTACAATACATGGCAAATTTTTCTCAAGGAAAACAAATCTCTTAACTAATGCTGTAAACTATGGGAGTCAGTTGTAGCCTACTAGGCTTCATTAGCCTACTATAGGTAAAAATTAACTGATTTGTAGCAATACAAAAACTTAAATTACACTTTTATTTATTTTTATAATAATAAAGTTATATGAAATATAAACATTTAAATGGTGGCTGTCATAAAAACTTGCCAGATTTATTCAAACATGCATTAAATATCGAAGAACATTAAACATTATAATGAATATGTAATATCATATGGTGCATATATTTTGCAAAATGCTCCTCTTTAGAATAATTTTTTCTAGCTGACTAACGAGTTTATGGTCACATATGGTTTTTCTGAGGTAAATGTGACGTTACATGACATTGTTTACAAGTTGTTTTACTGACGTCTTTCCACGGTTGAAACACTGATTGAGCGATTCCATGTGAAAGATACGGATTTCGATTATTGTACTCTATCTTTTAACACACTTTCAGATGCTCATTCATGTTTATTTCGCGCTGTAACTGGTATTATTAAGGCAGAAGAGGAGATCATGTGCTTCTCTTGAGATGTGCTGAGCCAGAGCGATCTCACGCCACAGCGCCAAAACGGTATTTATGTTTTTGAATTTCGTAAGAAAATGGACGTAATTTGAAATTTGAGACTTTATTTAGAATCAATTGTAACAAAGCACAAAGATTATTGCGATTAATTGGATGGGATGCGCGCTACAATGTTCCAATCATTCATCAAATGAAAACAGGATGACTAATCGATTCTTGAGATTTAAGAATCGATATCGGTTCGTAAAAATGAGAATCGACTAATATCGAGAAATCGATATTTTTTACCCAGCCCTAATATTTATCCCCTTTATAGTGCACTATGTGCCATTCACCATGTAGAAAATAATAAATGTGTGAGCAAGTGACCGATTTCAGCCGCAGCTTCAGCGTCTATTTATAATGTAGGGGGCGGGACGCTTTAGATTCTAGAGAGCGTTTGATTGGACAGAAAATCTGATGAGAAGCTGAAGTGCAGAGTGATGTCATCCAAATCATTGATCCATATTGGCAGAAGTGAGAGACTGTACGTTTTGAAAGCTTATAGCCTATCTCTGTTATATCTGTTTTGGAGCACGCTAGCTTATAGATTTTTTATTGCTATTTATTGATTTTGTGATATTTTTTGGAACTGTTTTTAACCCCCCTGCTACTGTAGCACTTTGAGATTTCGTTGAAATGTAAAGTGCACTATAAATAAAATGTATTATTATTATTATAATTAGATACCAGTAAAACTAACATATTCATACTTAAACCCAAAAAACTTTCATTTTCATTTCATGGGGACTTTAATGATAAAAAAAAACATGGTTTGTTTTTCCCCCTGCTGTACTGAAAATGTATCGAAACATGACTTCAAAACCGACTTATGAACCGAACCATCATTTTTTTGTACCGTTACACCCATACTGGACTCACTCCTGAAACTGTTTTAACCAAATATGCAGATGTCTCTTTCAGACCTTCAAGATACATTAATTATATTGTTTTGTTATATAATCTCAAAAATACACATACTTTCTAGATGGGCATCCAACTTTGCAAGAAAGTCCACGTTGAAGATCTCTCTGACCACCTCCTCAGGGAAATAATCAGCCATAGCCAGTGCGTACGCCAAGAGAACCAGCAGGTGAGGGTCAAAGGAGCCTGTTTACATCAGCAGGAACAGGTTACAATTTCCCTCTTAAATTTTAGAAACAACTCATTTATAGATGCACAGTGGAAGGATCTTACTAATATGTGGAGTGAAATGTCGAATGCAGGCATCAAAAAACTGCTCCGCCATCGGTGGGTCATAATTTAGCTCAGCAAAAGGCAGCAAAGTGGCATATGTTGCAGAGTAATGAATCTGTTTGGAAGAGACAGACATACACTTGTTTAATAACAGATGGGTCTGATGTATTTTGCATATTAATAACAAGAGAAAATGTTTCTTGAGGAATAAATCAGCATATGATTTCAAGGATCATGTAAACCTGAAGACTTGAAGAATGATGCTGAATAAATTACATTTGAAAATATATTGAAATAGAAAACAGGTATTTTAAATTGTAATAATATTGCAAAATATTTGCATTTTTACTGTTTTTTTATTAGTAAATAAATGCATCAAAAACATTTAGAAAAAAATCACACCGACCCCAAACTTTTGAACAGCAGTGTATGCATCTCATCAAATGACTAATGAAAATTTTGAAATAATATTTTTCGCTATATTTTGTGTAGTAAACAATGGCTTCAATAGAAACATTTAATGGCTTAACAATCTCAGAGCTCATTGCAGATCTGTCCTGAAATCTTTATATGTTATATGTATTTTTCTCCATGGAGGAAATTAATGATATTTCTGAAGAACACTGTACAAAATAAATTTTCAGCACCAGAATTTGAATAATACTTACATTTGGTGACAACTGTTGTTATTGTTAACTAAAACTATTAAACATCCTTTTAGTTAATTGAAATAAAGCTGAAATAAAATAAAATATAAACAATAGAGGAAAAACTTAAACTTTAAAACTTTTTAGAAAACTACAAAATATTAATATATACTAATAATTAAATAAAATTATATAAAAAAAACTATAATTACTAACCATATATACATTATATAAGTTAACCTCATATAAACTTAATAATAAATCAACACACTGTATATACACTGGCGGTCAAAAGTTTGGAATAACGATTTGTTTATGTTTTTCAAAAATGTCTCTTAGGTTCACCAAAGCTGCATTTACTTGATCAAAATACAGTAAAAACAGTAATTTTGTGAAATATAATTACAATTTAAAATAACTGTTGTAAAATAATTTAAAATGTAATTTATTCCTATGATCAAAGTTGTTTTTTCAGCATCATTACTCCAGTCTTCAGTGTCACATGATCCTTCAGAAATCATTCTAATATGCTGATTTGCTGCTCAAGAAACATTAATTATTATTATTATCAATGTTGAAAACAGTTGTGGAGCTTAACATTTTTGTGGAAACTGTGATACACTACCATTTAATAGTTATGGGTGAGATCTTTTTCTTTTTTTTAAAAATAGATTCAATACTTTTATTCAACTAATTCAAGTGAAAACGCATTCAAACAACACTTCAAATGACTCCCACCTTGTCTATATTTTCAATCGTCATACTAGCGATACGGTCCAGCAGCGCGGCACAGAAGTAGTTAGTCCTGGTCAGATAAACGGCCAGCTCATGCACATTAGTCCAGGATATCTGGTGAAGCAGTCTCTGCAAGGTGACCATTGACTCCTCCAGCAGCATCTCATCAAACCACTCCCCTGACAAGTACTTGACTTCCTCCAGCACCACATCCACATGCTCCAGCTTGTGCAGCCGCTCGCGTGCGCAGTGGTTCAGGCTCTGCAGCAGGTGGACATACTTGCTGGGGGTGTTGTGCCGGTACGAGGGGTCGTTGCGAATCCACTTGGCGACGACTATGGCGTAAGTGTTGAGGTTGTTTAGGTTGCACTGCGGGAGCACGGCTTCCACACGGGAAAGGACACCCTCGTCGAGATGCCGAGAAGGAAGCATGGACAGAACCCGAGTTAGCATGGTCACCTCGTACGGGTACACACTGCCCTGCTGGAAACTATGAATGACAATCGAAGACAGAAAAACAATATTGGTTAAAAACATAAATGTGTTAAATAAGATAATTTAATTGTGTTAACCCTTTATCTTAATATTAAATAATGCATTAACTAAAATTGAGTAACAATGAGCAATATTAGTTAACAGTAAAACGTTTTTTTTTTATATTAGCTAATAAAATACAATTATTCATTGTTCAAGTAATGCTAATAGATACAACATTTGATTAAAAACATTATTATTAAATGTTGAAAATAATATAAAGGATTCTTCACTGTTAGTTCATGTTAAATAATTTAGTTAACAAATGTTAAAAGTGTTACCTTAATAATAGTATAAAGACTCCATTGAGTCTTTTTTTTTTTTTTTTAAGAAGTTTTATTCGGCAAGGAGGCATTTATAATATTACAAAAGATAAACTTGAACTTTCTGTTCATCAAAGAATCTTGAAAAAAAATGTATCTGTACAGTTTCCAAAGAAATATTAACCAGTAGTTGTTGTCAACATTGATAATAATAATAAATAAATAATAAATCAGCATATTATACAGATTTCTGAAGGATCATGTGACACTGAAGACTGGAGTAATGATGCTGAAAATTCAGCTTTGATCACAGGAATAAATTACATTTTACAAGATATTCACATAGAAAACAGTTATTTTAAATTGTAATAATATTTCACAATATTATCATTTTTACTGTTTTTTATTTTTGATCAGACTATTTTGGTATGCATAAGATGCTTCTTTGAAAAACATTTTAAAAAAATCATACCACAGTGTAAATAACACCATACAGGTTCAAAACGAAACGATGAGTAAATGATGTGAGAATTTTACATTCCGTGTGTAAACTATCCCTTTAATTATAAGACTCCTAGACAGTCACTAATTTATCAATCTGTTTTTGGAAACACTCACTGCAGCAGTTTGGCTTTCAGTCTGGAGAACATCTCGGGATTCTGGCAATGGAGCAGGATGAGATTTTGAGTAATTCGAGCGATATCCAACGAACGATACGTCTCCAGATTCTTGAAGAGTATTGCTGCCATCCTGTCAGAAAAGACATGCGAAGGTCTTCAATTCAATTCAACTTTATTCTGGACTCGTGGTGGTCCAATATAGATACAAGACACACACACACCAAATAAAAAGAAACAACAATTAAATAGGCATTTTAAAAAGACCGTCTCCACAGCTTGGACTGGTAGCGGACTGCACTAAATCTAATATTTGTTAGTGACATTATTATTAACCTACAGATAAAGCTATACATTAACTTCCGCAAAGTTGCTTTGCTTGTAGAGTGTTAATTCGAGCTGTGACAAACATTTCACTCACACTAGTCCATCTTGGTCACTTTAAAAGCACACGACAAGCATCATTGTAGCCTTTGCAGACTGGCGTTTTTATAGTTAGTCCAAAGATGGGCCTTGTACAGAGATGTACAATATGTCTTAAACAGAGTCATCTTAACATTTTCTGTATAGAAACTGAGTTATTTTGTGATGTACTCACGCCGAAGCTATTTTTCGTTCTTTGCTTAAAGGGGTGGTATAATGCCCTTTTCACAAGATGTAAAATAAATCTCTGATGTCCCCAGAGTGTGTATGTGAAGTTTTAGCTCAAAATACGCCACAGATATTTTTATATAGCATGTTAAAGTTGTCACTTTTTGAGGATTAGCAAAAACGCACCGTTTTGTGTCTGGCCCTTTAAATGCAAATGAGCTGCAGCTCCCGACACAGTGGGCGGAGCTTCAAGAGTGTGTGTGTTAGCAGCTCCGATTACCTCACGCAGACACACGCTAAAATGTCAGAAACTGTTCTGCCTTTATGTTTAAACCGAAGTCAGACAAAGATGGAGAGACTAAGAAGAAGTGACAACATGTAGAATGCAACAGGACATCTCTGAATAGTTAGTTGATGAATTTATGTTGCTGATGTGGAGTTAACTATCTTCAATTAGCATGTTCTGTCAGGATAATCTATAAATCGCTTGTATAGGAACTGTTGTGAGATGCACACAGAGCGACTACAACAGCTCTTCCTCTTCTCAACATGGTGTTCCCGGGGCGATATTTTTTTTCACAGGATGGTAGGGGAAGACTCATGAATATTCATTAGGGAACTCATCCCTGATTGGTCTTAACCCCAGTGACTGGTAGGTTTAGGGGCGGGGTTAGAGGTAGGTCATCAGACCCCCAGTGACGGGTAGGTTTAGGGGCGGGGTTAGGGGGTAGGTCATCAGACCAATCAGGGATGAGTTCCCTAATGAATATTCATGAGTCTTCCCCTACCATCCTGTGAAAAAAATATCGCTTCCCGGGGGCGGGGTTTATGTAAATTTTAGGGTTATTGATGTCACTAACCCGGGAGGAAGCTCGTGTAGTTCCTACCAGCTGTTTGTTGTAATCCTTAAAAAACGATTTCTTTAAAAGTAGGGCTGCACGATTTGAGGAAAATGTCATATTGCGATTAATGAGGTCAATATTGCGATTGCGATAGCGATATAATAAACAAATGGTTTCATGAGTCAACTTGCTTGGTTCTAAAGTAAAATGCACACACAGATTAGTGATCATTCTGTGTATTAATGTGTATTTCTCAACTCAAACTAGCAACAACAACTAAATGATTGATAACACCTATAATGATCAATAAACCATTGATGTCTGGATAAAAATGACGACACCCCCCACATTTTAAACGTTAATTATAGCCATCCAACATTACAGTGATTCCATCAACACAATTGAAAGCTATCAACTTTTAAAATATTTATTAGGCTTAAAAAACAGCTTTTAAATTAAGTGAACTTCAAACAATCCTCACATAAACCCATAATAAATGCCATATTTACCTGTGCCCTTCCGGTCTTAACAGGTAGGATTGAGGATTTATATACAGATTTATATACAGAAATTGAATAAAGTTATCAAACAGTCTGCGCTGCATGAATTATAAATTATATATAGACTAATCCTTATTAAAGCTACAAAACTTCTTTAGTTAAGAGCAGTGAGTAATTTTCTGTTCCCTTTGTTCTTTGATTAACTTTACTGACGGAACGCTTTATTTCGCTGCTGGCCCTTTAAGAGCAGCCGTTGCCGAGACGCGTATCTCACACGCGCCTCATTCTCTCACAAGCACAACTCTTTTCGTCCATCATAAGACTGCTCTTATGTTATGAAGATAATCGACAAAACGACATTTTGGTATAATTGTGTGTGTTATTGTTCGTTCAAGCTCGAAAGAGAACTGTATTCTGGCACGCGGTCTGTGCATGCGCATATACTGGCGCGCGTTTTTCTGTGAGTCACATTCAGGACATTCACAGGCAGCGCGCTCTCTTTTGACTTCTAGTCATGCAAAATGGTTTTAAGGCATTTGCACGAAGAGCGGGATCATGTAACACTAGTCAAAGGATGACAAAAAAGAAGAGATGCTGCGTTAATAGCCCTAATTTGTTTATTTCATATAAAATCGCGGCATTTTGCGTTATATAATCGCATAGGTTTGACATCGCGTACGATTGCGATACGATTAATCGTGCAGCACTATTTAAAAGCAAATATCTCTCTTTGCTTTGAACTTTGAGCGTTGTAACTTTGCAGATGTTGTTTATGCTCAAACAGCAACATTACACACTAACTAAAGTTAGAAAAGTGAAATCATAATCAACCACCCCTTTAACAAGTCTGAAATACCTTTGCACCGGTACACTGTTTGTGAACATCTGGACGGTGCTCACGCCTCACGCTGCTGAGAGCGGCGCTTAGATGAATATTTAAATGTAAATATGTGCTGCACACTTTCCCCTCAATAACAAAATAAACACACAACAAAAATGACAATTCAGAGAAAACAGAAGTAAAGAAAGCATCTGATGTGGATATGTTTGCACCAGCTCTGCAATTCGGTCAAGTCCGTCACATTTATTTATACCGCTTTACACAATATATTACTTTAAAGCCACAAACACCATAACTGTTTTTGTATAATCACCATAATCTGTATAGGCCTATTGTAATCAAGACATTTATTCAAGAAATTCATAACAAACAGAAAGAAGTATGGAGTCACACCGCTCCGCTCTGGTTATGAATAATCTTATCTTTAATTGTTTAACTAACTGGATTATCCCAAAAAATGCTACTACATAGCTATTCAAATAAAAATAAATGTTGATGAATTTCCAGCAATATACATATACTGTATATATATATATATATGTGTGTGTGTGTGTGTGTAATGCAGTAATGCATCCTTACTGAAAAAAAGTATTAATTTCTTTCTTTTTTTTTAACTGACCCCAAACTTTTGAACAGTAGTGTAAAAACAAAAATTGTAATCACATTTTTTTATTGCAGAGACAAAATTTTAATAATTTCACCGACCCCTAACTGTGATAATCTATTAAGATTGATAGTCTATTAAGTTCTGACATGTGGATGTAATGCAGATAACTTGTCTCACTTGTTTATCAACTGAAGGTTCCTGCATTGCATCTCCTCCATTGACTCCAACACTCCTAAAGCCTGCTGGGGATTCAGCTCATCAGCCAATAGCAGCGCAGTACTCTCCAACCTGCAAGACCAATCAAACCAATCAAATCATACAGCGGATTTTCATCTCAGAGCTGCTTGGTCTCGTGGTTCATGGCTTAAAACACTCCCTATGGAGAAAATGACTGAAAAAAATACAGTCCCTGTTGCACTATTATACAGATACAAAGGAGTTGAGGTCAAAGGTCAGAGGAATTGGTCTGAACAACATATGAATATATGAGAAATAAAGTCAGAAATACTGTAAACTAGCATTTGCACAGACCTGTGAGATAAAAAGTCGCAATTCCCTTCTTTATTTTTTATTCCATGGCAGGAACAAGCTTCTATAGTATATAAATGACACTGAAATAGCACTGATATACAACAATAGTACGTAATTAAAAAAATAAGGGATGCTTTCCCTTGCTCACCTCTCTCTGACACCTTGTCCTGCCATTGGTCCAAGACAAGCAAAGAGTTTGCTGAAAGTGGCAGGATCAGTGCTTGTGTCCACCAACTCTATGAGTCTCTGTCTCGCAGCCACTCTGAAATCAGAGTTATTGAACTGCAATGACTGATACATTCCCAGAGTGATGCCGATGTGCTCCGCGTCCAGGTGGGAGATGTTCTGCAGGAGAAGCCGGTTGCATTTCTCCAGGAGAGGTCGGTGGATATATCTGATGTTTCGGAGGAACTGCACCACCCTTCTGGGGTTGTTGAAGTGTAACGGGTCCATTTTGTCCAGGAGGTTGTCCGCTTTTGTAAGCAGCGCATCCCGCAGTTGTGGCGACACCAGGGCAAAGATACCGATCATCAAGGGTGTGAGCACTCTGTAAGGAGGACATGTGTAAATACACTTATTTTCAGGTGCACTACACCTTTAGGGTGTTTGATGGTTAAAAACACACCTGGCGTCTTGAATGGAGTCCAGTCTCTGACTCACTATTTGAGTAATCTGCCCCATCAGAGGGCTGTGCTGCAGGAACTGATCACTCAGACAAACCGCAAACTTTGAAAGTGTTTTCATCTGGAATCTGTAAAGCAGAGAAAGCAAACTTTTATGGGGCAACTTTTGAAAACGTTGTTGCTGCAGTACCGGTACTTACAGTATCCACATCACATCTGCATTAGAGTACAACGGTGTATTTTTAACACTAGCTTGTCAATCTTTAAAGACAGACCTACTGTGAGCTACAAGGCTGCTAATCGATGGTATATGCTATGCTGCATTTTTTAATTAATAATTTTTAACAGCAGAATTCCTGGTATAAAACTACATTACACATGATTCTGCAGAAGTCTCCACCAATCAGAGGATTGAAACAGCAAATCATACCGAAATAACTATTTAGCGCCCATCCAGTCAGTCTTCCCTATGATCGGGAAGGGTCTGCAAAATGTTAATTATTATAAGAAAATAAGAGGATCATTCAAAATGCATGTTATTTATTTAGTAATGTACTGAATAAGATATTTTGCATAAAAGATGTTTAGTCCACAACGTTTACATGTTAGTCATGCAATTATAATATATATATTACAATCAACACCTGTAAATAAATTGTTTTATTTATTGCAATATGTTTCAATCATTTATTTAATTGAATTTATTTGAACTATTTATTTTAATTGTGTAATTTGCAATGACACAGTCTTGTATCTTTGTCTTTCTGTCCAATTTTTAAATACTTTTTTGCCTGAAATCAAAGTGTGAAATGTTGTGGTTCACCTCCTAGCTGGATGTTTTGGTTCATGGCTTATTTAACAAAGACAAAATCCTTATGAAAAATAGAACCAAGGCTGATAAAAAAGTAGATGGACACTTTCAATCATGCCATTGGAAATCACCAAACTCTCACTGTCGTGGTCGCATTTATGAGATTTGTCATGTACCTCTCCAGTCTGGTCCAAGCCTCTGTCACCAAGTGCTGCACAAGAGAGTCGTGATGTTCTACTTGAAGCCTGCAAAACAAGACCAATCCAATCAAAATATGGATATATTCCCACAAATAATTAATTAGGACACCATATTTACATTGTAGTTTTGACAATGGCTCTGTTCCAGAACCTAGAGAGCTGCCGACATAGATTAAAATAGAACTGAAATAGAACCTCATAAGCGACCGAATGCTTCATAACTGAGTTTGGTGCTAGCATGTTGCAAAATTAACGACACAACACTTTAAGTATAAAATACATTGCATACAAAAATTCATTCTAATCAACATTTCTCTACATTCGTCTGCTACGATAAAATAACTTTTTCTGTCCAATGCAATGCATCACAGTATTAATAATGTTTCAAATTATTATCTGTTTTTGCTGCTTAATATTTGTGTGGAAACCATAATAACGTGTTTTTAAGGATCCTTCAGCATTTATTTGAAATATAAATCTTTTGTAACATTATACATTTCTTTACTGTCACTTTTCATCAATTTAATCCATTCTTGTTGAATAAAAGTGTACATTTCTTCTCTTTTTTTGTTAAATCTCACTTACCCTAAACTTTTTTATTGCCTAAATATTAAGCAGCACAACTGTTTACAAGTTGTTTACATTGATAATAATAATAGAAAAATCTTAAGCAGCGAATCATCATATTAGAATGATTTCTGAAGGATCATGTGACACTGAAGACTGGAGTAATGATGATGAAAATTCAGCTTTGATCACAGGAATAAATTACATTTGACATTTACATATAATTATTTTTACTGCATTTTTAATAATATAATGCAGCCTTGGTGAACAAAAGAGACTTCTTTCAAAAACATTTTTTAAAAATCTTAATTATTCCAAACTTCTGACCGTATAATACTATCTAGCTAGGCTACACACAAGGTTTTGGAACAGAGCTTTCACCTCACTTTCACATTTTCACGCTGTACCTGAGCACATCATAAAGCATTTTCACCACTGAACTGTCATCCAAGAGGCTGATCTTGTTTTCAGCCAGAACTCGAAGCGTCAGGAACTGCGGGTGATTCTGGACAAACTCAAACGTCCTGAGCATATGTGGCCGGTCCCTTTGAAACTGCCACAGGAGTCCAATAGCACAGCTCACATGCTTCACAGACAGCTTGGCTTTGTTCCGGCCCACCACATCGAACACCTGGTCCTCAGCAGAGCAAGCCTGAAGCTGGTCTAGAAGCTGGTCACGGCCGACGACCCGACTGTGAAACAGCCTTCGGGAACAGACCCGAAGCGATTGGAGCCCAAACATGGCACAGGACGGCCGAAACATGGCACAGGACGGCCGCCGTCAGGAGTCACTCCACATACTAGAGAGATCAGATGTACCGAAGAATCAGATCATCAACTTCTGTCCATGTCAGCTAGAGCACTGCTGTTATTAAAGCAAAAAAGAGAAATATCAAACACTACTAAGACATTCTGAAATACATATAAATTGTATATAGAGTACCGTTAATGTATTACTATTTTTTAATGTTTATGAAAGAAGTCTATTATGATATATTACCTATAATTATATTGTGAAATATTATTACAATTTAAAATAATGGTTTTCTATTTGAATATACTTTAAAATAACAAATCATCATATTAGAATGATTTCTGAAGGATCATGTGACTGAAGACTAGAGTAATGATGCTTTGTGTCACATAAATAAATTATATTTATGTGACACAAAGCATCATTACTCTAGTCTTCAGTCACATGATCCTTCAGAAATCATTCTAATATGATGATTTATTATCAATGTTGGAAACAGTTGTGCTGCTTTTTTTTAATAACCTGTGATAATTTTTATTCATTGATGAATAAAAAGTATTAAAAAAAGAACAGCATTTGTTTAAAATAGAAATCTTTTGTAACAATATACACTCCTGTTCAAAAGTTTGGAGTCTATTTTTCTTTCTTTCTTTTTTGAAAGAAATTAATACTTTTATTCAGCAAGGATGTTTTAAATTGATGCAAAGATTTATATTGTTAGAAAAGATTACTTTTTGTATACAAATGCTGTTCTTTTTAACTTCTAATCCTGAAAAAAGGTATCACAGGTTCTACCATTTTTTTTCAAAAACATGTTTCCAATTCCAAACTTTTGACCGGTACTGTGTATATGTATGTATATATATATATATATATATATATATATATATATATATATATATATATATATATATATATATATATATATAATTTCATCATCATTATAGCATTCTTTATATCACACTACTTCATTATATCACACTACTTATCTAAATACTCCTAGAATGTCAACTAACAAACACTTATTAAAGTTAGTTAGTTCTTATAAAGTCTGAATGTCAGCAGCAAATGTGTAGGACAAGATCATGTGCTATATAAATAAAGCCGAATAAGAGAGATTCACAGTACCTTCTTCAAGCTGCCATGCCATAACCATAGACTGTAAAAAAAATAACACACATCATATAACATACAGCATGAGTGTCCTGTGCTGCAGCAGATCACGTGTTAGAGGACTGATGTGGTCAGATGGGGTGTTACAGTCCCACAGATGTGTGCTACTGCTTGTGTTTGTTATACAGATGCTTAACGTGCATGTGAGAACAATGTTTTATCAACCAACTGAACAGAAAAGGGCAAAATGTGGGTATCCTGGTCAATGCTGCTACTGGCTTCCTGTTTAATCAAGCGCACAGCCAAAAGTCACGGTGTCTTTCAAAATAAAAGTTTGACCATGTGATGGAAAAATTATCTTTATTGGACAAGAGTGAAACCATAATGAATTTGGAGATGGGATATAAAAATGTATCAATAATTAAAATATTAACGAAACTTTGAATAAAAAAGAAAAATTGATTAATGTATAATTACACAAGTAAATCATTGTCATGAATGAATACATAAAAATAATTTTAATTACTGGGAATAGTTTACGACAATTTTGTCATAATTTACTCATCCTCAAGTTGTTTCAAACCTATATAAATTTCTTTCTTCTACTGAACACAAAGGAAGATATTTTGAAGAATGTCGGTAACCATAATTATGAGAACTTTTCTCGTAACTATGACTTAACATCTCATTGCTAATACAGAAATAGGAAAAATTTTCGTAATTATGACTTAACATCTCGTAGGCTAATAATGAGAAAATGTCTCGTAATTATGACTTAACATCTCGTAGGCTAATAATGAGAAAATGTCTTACAATTATGACTTAACATCTTGTAATAATGAGAAGTTCTAGTCATAATGAGAAACTTTCTCGTAATAATGAGAAACTTTTGTCGTAATAATGAGAAACTTTTTTAGTAATAATGACATCTCAAACAGGGCACGTCCCGCGTCCCCCCATTAGGTCCGCTTTGTGACGTTCCGATGATGACGTTATTTGGTTCGCTTTGTAACTTTCCCTTACCTGCCATTTCCTGCCAACAACACTTGCAAAATCCGTCACCCGCTTCATTCCATTCTAGACGAATTCTATATTAAAAAGTCAAAAGGGGCATTCGTGAGATCCAGAGCTAAGTGGCTGGAAGAGGGTGAAAAAAATAGCTCATACTTCATTAATTTGGAGAAAAGACGACAAGTAAAAAATTCTATTAATAGTTTAATTGTGGACCAAGTAGAGCTATTCAATCATAACTTAATAGTTAAAGAGGTGTTTAAATTTTACTCTAAATTGTATTCCTCTTCCTTTTCCTCTCTTAATTCTAATTGTTTTTTTCAGATTATAAAAAATAATATAGACAATGTTTAAAGAACTTTGTGAATCAGACATAACCATATAAGAGCTTGATGCGGCTATTAAACAGAGTAAACCTGGTAAATCACCGGGTCCTGGGTTAACCACAGATTTTTATACATTTTTTTGGGATGACCTAAAATATATATTTTTTGAAGCCTTACAAGATTGTATAAATAATAGTGAATTATTGCCAACTATGAAACAAGGGCTTATAATTTTGATACCAAAGCCAGGAAAAGATAAGAGGATATTAGATAATTTTCGCCCCATAACACTAAATACAGATTACAAATTGTTTACTAAAGCACTTGCTTCCAGATTAAAAACAGGAATATCACAAATTATTAGTGTTACCCAATCAGGATTCTTAAAGGATAGGTCAATTCATAATAATATCAGGTTAGTTTTTGATTTGATTGAATATGGTCATCTAATTGAGGAAGATGGTTTCATTTTATTTTTGGATTTCTATAAGGCCTTTGGTGGAGCATTCTTTTATTTTTGAAACTCTTAAACACTTTGGTTTTGGTCCTAAATTTATTAGTATAGTTGGAATGCTTTTTAAAGACATCTTAATTTTATTGTCAGTCAATTTGCTGACGACACTACTCTTTTTTTTAAGGAATGAACAGCAAATACCCTTAGCACTTCAGTCAATCAAGTTTTTTTCAGAAGCTTCAGGTCTACTGCTAAATATGTCAAAATGTGAGCTATTGGCCATTCATGATCATCCTAATTTAACATTATACAATATCCCAGTTAAAAATGATGTCAAATATTTAGGTATCTGGTTATCTAAGAGGATGGATAATTTGGAACATTTAAATTTTGATAAAACTTTGGAAAATTGTAAATTAATAATGAATACTTGGCTGCAGAGAGACATAACGATTTTTGGAAGAATTGTATTGACAAAAGTAGAGAATCTTTCTAGATTCATCTATCCATGCTGTTTCTGCAAAAAAGACAAAGGCAGTTAAACAAATTAAACTTTGATTTTATATGGAAAATGAAGAGTCATTGTATACGTAAAAGCGATATGATTAAAGATTATGAAGAAGGTGGTCTTAAAACGATTGACTTTGATATTATGAATGGGGTCATTAAACTTAGATGGCTACAGTCTTTCATTAATGATAAGTCCTCTTTCTGGTTCGAGATTCCTACTATCGTATTCAATAAATGTGGTGGCATAAGTTTTTTGCTGCAATGTGACTTCGAACTTTCCAAACTACCTGTAAAACTTTCTGCTTTCCATCAACAAGTTTTATTATACTGGAAATTGATTTTCAAGCATAATTTTAGCCCTCATAATATGTCAATCTGGAACAACAGATGTATAACTGTGAACAAAAAATCTTTGTTTATTGATGAGTGGTGGCAGAAAGGCATATGGTCACTAACACATGTAATGGACAATGTTGGAAATATACTGAGCCATGTTACTTTTTGTGCTAAATACAATTTAAGCTGCTCCTCTAAAATGTATGAAAGAATTATTAAGAATATTCCATTACCAATGGTTAAATTAGTAAGTGAACATTTGAAATATTCAATGATAATACCTAAACTACAAGGACTTATTATAGAAAATGTTAGCTTTGTTGACAGAAATTGTTCTAACAAATTCTTAAAGGCACACTGCGGAACTTTTGGCCACTAGTGGCGCTCGACCTGTAACTTTCACGTCTAGCGTCCCTAGAGGCCACAAGCTCCGCAGCACTGTCGCAAAAGTCAACAAAAAGTCAACCGGTCCGCCCATAGACAGTGGGTCAGCTTCCCGTGTCTTTAGATTGTGTGTGCTTGCAGTGTTTGAGGCGGGCAGCCTTGCCGCGCTCGATTCCCTTATAGCAGTCTGCTGAGAGAGAGCGAGCGGCTTAGTGCTAACATGTCTGTGAGTGAATGTGGGCGCGGGACGGCGGGCACATTTACTGCACTAAAATCACCGTCGGCCTGAGCTGACTGTAACTTATGTGTGTTGGTTTCGTTTTACAGAAACCGTGGGACATGTTGTGTGTAGTGTTTGTGGGCACTGAGTCGTGGGAACGTTCACTACATTTGTACATTTGACATGAGTCGATTTTATTTGTGCGAGCCCTGCACTGTGGCGGGCTGTGTTTGTGTGTAGAAATGAACAATGGGCTGTGGGCATTTTATTACACTCATAACACCATCGGCTGTGGCCGGAATACCAGAAAATACTACACTGCTTATTTGATTTATCTGTGTCACCTTGGAAACGGCATTTGTGTGCAGGCAAGCGTTAGCATCGGTCGGGCACCCATCCTCCTCCTGTAGCTCACGCCAGCGAGCGAACGCTGGACCAATGGTGATCCTCGTCCTGGCTTTTCATTTGTCACTATGCCTTTTTCTTTTTTTTAGTGTCCTCTGACAAAACCTTTGCCTTCTTCCTTGTAGCTGTTGGTTCGGCCATGACGAAAACATACAGACGGCAATCAAACGCGAGTTGAGCACTCACGTCAGAATCTGAGGAAGTTGTGGGTGGTGGGGGAAGTGACGTATGCCGTAAAGCGGTCGAATTTTGTAGTTCTTTTTGTGCTCGGGTTCCTACCCGAACCCCGAAGTTACATAGTGCTAGGAAAAGCGATACAGACACCTTCAGGCTTCGGCAGACGTGTCATTCAACCTATTGTAAGTCGATGTACCATCTCAATGGGTTTTGGTAATATATTATAAAGGTTGAAAAGTTCCACAGTGTGCCTTTAAGAGACTGTTTAGTACATCAATGTTTCCCAGGACAGGTATTGAGAAAGTATATTTTTCGTCATTATAAGAAGGAAGAAGTGTGTAAAATTAGGACTAATTTTCTTTCATTTCCCGTTAATCCTAAATGTAAAGAGGTGCACTTTAAAATTTTGAATCATATATATCCAACAAAAGAATTTTTAAGAATATGATTTAATGTTGGGGATTCAAATTTATGTCAAATATCCTATGCAACCTGCATGGCTGCATAACCGCTGGCGGGCCCATTTGCCATTGCATGTTTAAAACAATAATATCTTAGTAAAATCCTAAAGTAATATTGCCAAACTATATATCATTTGAAAGCTTAAAATCTCTAGTTTCCATATTTGGTGGCTGTTATCTAAAATATATTACAGAGGAGCAGAAATTTATCAATTTGCAACAAGAATATTTCATATTCATTAGGAGTATTTAGGCCTTTATTTTGAAATAACAATAAACATGAAAAATCATGAAAGATTGGTAGAAACCTCAGTTTGTTTTCATGCCATGAGTTCAAAAGATAACACCAATTCCATTTTATGAGAAAAAAAGGTCTGAAAATGTTTTAAATATAAAGAAAAATGTTTGGATTCTCGATTTGTAATGCGGCTGCGAGCTATAACGCTATAACGTAGTCTTTATGCATTTATTAGAGGTTTAATTCAAATCAAATACTGCCAAACCACCCATACTACTTCTGAATAGGATGTCTACTTCATAAATTGTATGAAAATTATGGAAATACATGGTTCAGATCACTCAAAACATATATGAAAATGGAGGCGCCCTTATATGGGCAGTAATGGAGTCTGGTGTTCACCTAGTGAAAAAGTTGGGTACTGCGCCCGAATAAAATCTTACTGAAAGCTCATTTTTTGAAATATCAACCTAAAATTTGGAATACAACTTGTTCAGATATTTGACTTTAATTTTCTTGCAGTTTTAGAGTAAAATATATTTTGTAATATATATATTTTATATAAAATATTAATCATTATATTTTTACATTACACAATTTCATTAACTCAAACTTATATAACTTTTTTTCTGTTTCATTTTTTACAATTTCTAGACTTCTACAATAATCTGGAAAACGTCTTCTTTAAAACAAGACCAGCCATAGGTCTATATTCCAAAGCATTCCTGAATTACAACCATTTAAGTTTGGATAGTGATTTTTATGTCTATGCAAAAAAAAGGGGGGTGCCAGTTAACAGGATATGTAAAGTAGAGATAGAAACAGTTGAACATTTGTTTATTTCAGTGCATGTTGGTAAACAAATTTTGGAATGATGCGTTGAGCTGGATGCAACAAAGAAAACCTGTAAGGCTGATACTGTCTTGTTAAGTTTGGACTATTAATTAAGGATAAAAAGGTATCTTTTGTAACTAATAATATGTTGCTTCTGTTAAAATTTGATATACACAAATGTACATTTTTCAAAATTCCTCCACGGTTATTGGTTTTTAAGGAGGAATTTGGAGTATATTTGGAGACAGTGAGAAAGATGAAAAGCCCTAAAGCAGTGTATTTGTACTCCTTATTGGAAGATTTTGGTTTTATAATTTGAAAACTTTTTTTATTTGTTCTTTTTATTTGTTGTATTATTATTATTTTTTATTTTATTTTTTATTTTACCTTGTCGTCAATTTACTGTGCTCAGATTGTTTGTAAAATTTGAATCTACAAATGTCTTTTTGTTAATGTTTTACAATTGTCAATAAAAATAAATAAATAATAAAATAAAAAATAAATCCAGTCGCCCATGCGTTGCCTTTTATCATCAGACCTGACACCTTGCAACTCAGACAAACGAAAAATTGAAATAAAATTTAATCCATATTGGATTTAAAAGGGGATTTGTTTATTCCTTAAAATCCCTTAAATTAACTGTGATCACGGATTTTATCCAGAAACCATGCTTTTTGTTTTGTAGATTGGCATTATAGTTATCTTGTTTATCATTTATATAGCTATAACACCTATCTTAGTTATTGTATGTGTTTGTCTAAATGAGAAAGAAAAAAAAAAGAATAAAGAAAAGGAAAAAATAAGCTATATAATTATTTTTTTTCCGCATCCCAAGCCAAAGTCGTAATTTGACTGCTTTCAGTTTAGTTTCTTTTAAAATATTACTCAATTTTCTCTGAATACTACTTTCAGGACTTATTTATAATATTACTACTTACTTGTTCATAAACAAGCTGTTTTTCTTTGAGGTATCCATCCATCAGAATATTTCTAAACATACTTATAAAACATCCAATTTGATATTTCAATAAAATCGCAGCAATTAACATTTCTTTTGCATAAAATCTTTATTGTTGCAATAGCCAGACGAAGTCATTATAACAACTAGATTACCATGTAAATCCTAGTCTTTTCTTAGACTGCTGAATGTCATCGGTCTCATTCAGCTCTTTTATGTTTTGAGTGGTGCCGTTCACATAACTGGGCATCTGAACACCCGACTCATCATGGACTAGATAGCTTGGTCTAATTCCACCGAACATGGGCCCCAGGCCCCCTCCGACGCCCTCTCTGCCAGCCTTCAGGAGCGGGTAGATGTTTCTCCCTGCCTTCTCGGCTGTTTCGATGACTTGCTTGGCGTATTTCTGGAACTGGTTTTCCTCCTCAACCATCTGAGCGGTGTTCTTCGCCACAAAGTCCTTCTGCTCTTTTTTCGTACGGTGATCCTTTGCACGTTTTTCAGCCTTTACAAAACCAATGTTGCATTAGAGAGAAATGATGAGTTCAATGCATACAATAAATCATATTAAGAGCTAGTATACCCACCATTTCTTGTATGTAGATGTCTTGGAGTGCTTTTCCTTCTTCTTTAGCTTTTTGAGCTTGAAGTTCTTGCTTTTCAATGAAGATTTTATCTGCTTCCTTCTTTGCATTCAGCATCTCCAGAGATTTCTGTTTTTCTTCCTCTGCCTTTCTTTCCAGCTTTTGCCTCTGATACAGAGTTGAGAAAAATGTTTATTTCAATAAATGCATTTCAAATTATATATATAAACAGTGTGATGCTCATAAATCCAACATCACTGTGGTAACATATCTAATACATGGCCTCTTGTGGTTATACTTGTTTTTAGTTAATTCAAAAATGTGAATAATCATGCCTCCATTACTAGACAAAGCATTAAATTGCAATCATGTATAAAAAAATTTGGGAATAGGTCATTTACCATGGATTCTCTGTGAGCAGCGATAGATTTCAACACGGCTGCATGTTTTTCTTCTTTCTCACGCTGCACTCGGATATGTCTGGCCTCACGTTCAGCGACTGCTTTTGCGATGATCTCTTCCTCATTGTTGATTTCTTCCTGCTTCTGCACGGCTAACTTCTGTATAATAGTCTCTCTGTATCTTTGAAGCTCTCTAAGGCAAAAAGAAAGACAAATACAAGCCCAGTTCTGAGACAAAGCAAGCAGGGGAAAGAACTTTCTCTCCAGGTTTCCCACACTTCACCCACACAGTAAATTTCCATGACTTCAATAACCTACCCATTTAGATGTGATTTGTGAATGAGCAAGTTGTAAGAATGTGGATGTCCAATGGTATGTCAGGAAACAATCTTTTGAATTAGTAGATTTATATACTAATTTATTTCAATTTGTATAAATGTTCCCAAAAAGACCTTTCACAGACAAATTAAAGATTGGATTTTTTTTGCGAGCAAGTTTGAATTTGAAACAAACACTCAGAAAGAGCAATTTCTAGTTGATTAAATACACTGTAAACCCCAGTAAGTTGGCAAAACTCAAATAATTTGAGGTTTAAGTAACCAGAGCTTGCATATTTTTGTTTCATACATTTGAATTACTCTTAACTGAAAATATTTGAGTAAGCTAATTCATACACAATTTAAAATTATCATGTAATCTCAACTGAAATATTTTTAGTAGTGGAAACTTGGCAAGCTATAACCAGTTAATTCAATAAGTACTACCTTGCTAATTGGTGACAATGCTTTGATGGCATCAGCATATCATAGCACTTGCTGAATGAGTACAGCAACTTAAAACATCCACTCGTCACCAACCATGATGGTAATCCCCCAAAAAACCAAACATAACAGAAACTCTTAAAGGGTTTGTTCACCCAAAATTAAAATTCTGTCAGTAATTACTCACCCTCGTGTTGTTCCAACACCGTAAGACTTTCGTTCATCTTCAGAACACAAATTAAGATATTTTTGATTAAATCTGAGAGCTGGATCACTCCTCCTTAGGCTTCTAAGGGATCGAAACTTGCCAGCCCAGAAAAGTTATTAAAGACATTGTAAAAATAGTCCGAGTGACTACAGTGGCTCAACCATAAGTTTATCAAGCGACGAGAATACTTTTTGTGCGCAAAAAAAAAAAAAAAAAAAAAAAACGACTTTATTCAACTATTCATTTCATTCTCTGTGGGCCTCAAGATAGTTCACGTAGTGTAACAGCGCAACAGTTCTAGGTTGTACGTCACACGTACCTGAGCCTGCGTGTGACGTACAACCTAGAACCGTTGCGCAGTTACACTACATGAACTATCTCGAGGCCCACAGAGAATGAAATGAATAGTTGAATAAAGTCATTATTTTTGTTTGTTTTCAAAAATATCTTAATTTGTGTTCCGAAGATGAACGAAAGTCTTACGGGGTTGGAACAACATGAGGGTGAGTAATTACTGACAGAATTTTCATTTTGGGGTGAACTAACCCTTTAAGCATAACAAAACATTACGCACTACTAAATCTCCCACTTAACATTAATCTGGCACAAAAATCATCATATGACACTTAATTCTAGCATTTACTCTCCCTTTTGAGTGTCATGGCAAAGCATGCTGGGAAATAGAAATCCAAGCCCAGTTTAAATTAAAAGAAACAAGTTCATAGTACTCAAAACAATAAAACAATTCAACTTAAAATGTGTCCGTTTTGTGAACTCAAAAGAAGAATAAAGTTTTAAATTTGATATACTCATAAAAGTTAATTTGATAGAACATATTTGTATAACTTGAGTTGGTCGGTCCTACTCAAAACAATTAATTATTTTGAGCGTTAGGGTTTTCATATATGAAGCTAAAAAAAATAACTAAAAAAAAAATAAAAATAGATGAGACAGAGGAGAAACTTAACCTTAAACTGTTGGAAATACTATTAAAATATTGCCTTGGCAACTAATTGAAATAACATTTCAATTTGTAAGTTGAAGTACTAAAATTACTAAAACTAAACCTGAAATAAATATAAAATAAACCTCAAAAGAAATATAACAAAACGAATTAAAAAATGACAAAACCACATACCACAATTCCTAAACCTTAAAATGAAAATATAAAAATAAAAGGTAATTCAAAAGATTACAAAATACTATACTATAAATAATACTGAAAGCCCATGATCCCAAGAGATTCACAGTTTTAAAGTAACAAAAATGCCTAAAATGCTAAAAGTTATTCTATCTGTTATCTAGCATTTAATATATCAAGTTTAGTATGGGTTGGAATTGTTTAACATAAATAATCAGCATGCTGTGTGTTTTATACGTGTTAGCTCTCATAAATGTAAAAGAAATCCTCCTGAAAATCAATTGCAGGGAGCAAAATAAAGAAGTACATTTCTGACACTAATGAGAACCCTGTCATTAATATCAACCACAGGACGCATTTCTATTGTCTTATGTACAATACCTAAATATTTCCTCCTGCTTTTCTTTCCTCATTCTCGTCACTTTTTCTTTATGGCTGGCGAGCTGCTTTCTTTTCTCCTCCTCTTTCTCCTGCCTCCGAGCCTCTGCTGCTTTCATCAGCTCTCTGTTGGTCAAATGGTCCTGACGGAAGACAGAAGAAGGGATTTCAAAACAGCATCTGATTCAATCTGCTTTTACAGTGTGAATGTTGTCCAACAACCGCCTTACACGAAAAGCATTCATTGTGCTTCTCTTCTCTTCCTGATTCTTGCGCTCTTTCATGGACTGTTCCCACAGCTGAAGATCTCGGAGTCGCTCAATTTCTTCAGCCTCACTTTTGATCTCCTGCCTCTCCTGCTCTTTCTTCATTTCATGATCCTTAAACCTAATAAAGCGGGAAACATCAGACACCTTGTAATTTCCAGCTAACAGGGAATGTTCTCAGAACTTTAGATAAGGTTCTCTCAAAGTTACGAACAAACGTTCTTCTAGTAACATTAATAGAATGTTCGTTCAAAGTTATCTGGTTAATCATGTTCTCAAAACATGAACACAAAAACATTATTTATACATCATTCATGGAGTGTTTCTTTTTTTTATGAAATGTTTTAGTTGGACAATCGTCTAACATTTTTTAAATGTTACTAATTATTTCAGCACGTTCAGAGAACATTTCAAAAGCAGTGTTCGGGGTATTGCATTACTTAATCAGATTACTTTTTTCAAGTAACGAGTTACTTTACATTTACATTACTCTTAAATTTACTCTTAAAGTTACTCTTTCAGAAAAGTAACACAAGTTTTCCCATTTATGGACTGATAGCTCTCCTGTCCCCATGTTGAGAGAAATCGGGAGTAAGTGCAGAGGCGTTTGTGTGTTAACATGATGGTTATGCACTTGCACAAAAACATATTCAGCATTCCTCAAAATGAATAAAAACTGTAAAAACTCAGAATATGGTAATATGTTAAATAATACAAATACTTTATGTATTTAATCTCACTTTATTAAGCAATGCCTTTGCTGTTGACCTTTGATGTTCCAATTACTAATAAGCAAAAATGACTTTAGATAAACAACACATTTGTGTTTCATTTTTTTATTGCTGAAATAAGAGTGTTGAACTTCTCATGCATCCTATTTCATGGATGGCAGCACAGCTGAAATGTTTGTTTGAGCTGCGCCCTTTACTTTACAGGCATGAATTTGCATTTCCTTCAGCCTTTCTTTTCCCTTTTGGTACATTTGCCAAAACTTTTTTTTTGTTATTAAAAAACAAGCAGCAAGCAAGCCCAGCCAAGTGAGAAAAAGTAACACAAAAGTAACGTAACACTACTTTCCATTAAAACTAACTAAGTAATACAATTAGTTACTTCTAATGTAACACAATATTGTAATGTATTACTTTTAAAAGTAACTTTCCCCAACACTGTTCAAAAGTAACATTCCCATAATGTTTGAAGAATTCTAAAATGGAATGAAAGAAAAAACATTTTAAATGTTGTTGACACTTTGAATGTTTAGAGAACATTCAGAAATAACATTTATATATTAATTGGAATTTTAGCAAAAAGTTTTTAGAGCATATTTTTGTTAGCTGTGTTTTTGTATTGAAGCACGAATGCACTTTAATTTCTCCTTACTGTAGTTTCAAGCTCTCAGAAATGGCCAGTTGGTCTTGTTTCCTCTGCAGTGCTTTCTGCTGCTCCTGCTGGACAGCCTGTTCTTCTCTGCAAGCCATTTTGGCCAAGATGTCTCTGTCTACGTCTTTGCTGGCATTCTGCTTCATGCGTTTTAGCTCGATCTGAGCCTCCCTTTCCTTCAGCACCTCCGCCAGCATCAGAGCGCTCTATAAAAACAAGAGGATATAGGCCATGAGACGGGACCCCAAATTTGGGCTACCGGTACCATTTTGAGGGATTACATTTCTTTTTGATTTTCATGAAGGTACACATCTCTAGTGTTGGAAAATGTGTGATAGCATCCGATCCATGGTAGCTTTCATTAGAAATCAACACTTATATCATCCTACTTCAAGGTAAGGTGTTCAGTGACTACAAGAGAGAAAAATTTATCCTTTTATAATTTTAAAAATTTATTAAAAAATGTATAATTTTTTTATTATAAAAATTTATTCATTTTTTATAAAAATTTTATAAAATTTAAAAATGTAAAATTTATTTAAAGATAAATTCATTTATCCTTTTTCTTGACATATGTTTGAAAATCGTCCTCCGTAACCAAAAACTACCTTGAATCTAATGCTATCACACATTTTTCAAATACAGGGTCATATACCTACACAAAAATCACCATGCGGTTTAATCCCTCAAAATGGTACCAATCAACCCTCTGTCTCACGGCCTAATAGTTTCTACTAACATTTTACCACAGAAAAAGATTTGTGATCTAATAACGTAAGACACAAACATGGAAGCCTTTCACTCTGTCGTTCTGGTAGTACTGCTGGGTTTTTGCTTTCTCAATGGCCTCCTTTCGTATCTGGGCCTGATATTCCGCTTCTTCTATGTCAAGTAGTTTCTTCTCCTCTTCTTCGATCGCCTCTCGAATTGTTTTCGCCTCTAGCTTTTTTTGTCGTTGTCCCTGTAAGAACAAAATCATATTTGTTTGTTGTACTTTGTTACTGTATACATCAAGTCTCATATTAACCCTCACAGGCCCAGGTATTGTTTTATTTTAATTTCTTTATGAAGAAAAACTCAAATATCACATTAAGATGACATTCAAATTACAATTTAACATTATACCAAATTGTAACAAACTTAATATTATAATAGGGGCACAGACACAAAAAGTAAAATTTAAAAATTAGACAGAGAGAACTCAGAGAAGTAGAAGTATCTGCAGATGCTCAAAAGTATAAATAACGGTAAAAATGTTTGTATTGTTGTTGTATTCCCTAACAATGAAAAATTTTTCTAAAACATTTATTGACCTTAGTTAATGTTAATTTTATTAATACATTTTTTTAATCAAAAGTTGACAGTTTGTTAATATTTAATAGACCTGAGCTAACACGAACTAACAATAAACAGCTGTATTTTAATAATTAACATTAACAAGGATTTAAGATATACTGTAACAAATGAATTTCAAATTAGTTTTACTTAATGCATTAACTAATATTGTAAAGTGTAACCTGAAAACATTCTAAACACAAACGGCATACAAAATAAACAGGAGTATTAACAAAATATTATAATACATTATACTGTTCATACGAGCTAAAAATTCCAAACAAATAACTAATTATTCTTATTTCTTAACAAAGACTTAATAAAAAGGCCTATTTTCCTCCTTAAAAGTGTTTAGGTCATTAAAAAGCGTGATGTTTACGCATATTTAGTTTTAGGGAAAATTTTGTAGGTTTTCAAGTAAGTATCATTGCTCAGTGAGTCTAATAAGTACGGAGCCCCGCACATGACATGCAAGAAAACAAATGTAAGTTAATTGTGTGCACTATTTACTAATTCGTTCGCTCGATTTAGCCTACTATTTATTCCTGCATGTCATGTGCGGGGCTCCGTAATTAGAGAGCTACAATTGCATTAATTCCAGTGCGATGCTCACAGCTATGGTGTTGGACCAGTGTTTGACGAGCTCTTTAGAGCGCATGTGCAGCGCCTCCCGCTGTTCAGCCGCTGCTATGACACTTCTGTTGTGATGATTCACTCCGTTCACACTGTCCTGCACGCGCTGCCATTCAGATTTGGACAAAACTACCACTTGACGAAGGTCTGCTTCGGTTTTCTCCATATCCGAACTCACAACTGTATGCATTCGACAACACATTTCCAAGTTATTATAAAAGCTCTAATTATTGTCAGATATTTTGTTGCGCAGTATTTTTTATTCTCACCTTGTTTACTCGAGCCTTTCCTCCGACCGTACTGGACGACACCTGTTCTTACTAAGGCTGTTGACATTTTAACTCCTCACATTAGTTGATCTAGATGTATATTGAGATGCTTTTATATTTTATTCCTTCATACATCGACGAACTTGGCTAACGTTGGTAACATGCTCGGACTCTCTACACTGTGTTGCTCGGCAACCACTTAAACTTTTGTTACACTGTTACCCAGCAACCCTACATGTGAAGTAGGTGACGTCATGCGAATCCTTAAAGAGCCAGCAAACCAAACTGGTTTAGCCAAGTTGGTTCATTTGCCTTGAAATTCTTTATGGAATGAAATGAAATTATATTTACTTTAAATCCTTAGTATAGAACTTGCAATAATACAGATACTCTCGTAAGCCTTTCTTCTTGGTCTGGTACATTTTAAGACAAAATGGAAAAATAGCCTACTATATTCAACAAGTAAATTCTTCTACATGATTTTACTTCAGTGATATTGACTTCTAAAGTAGGGTAGACCAGGGACTAGTTTTCACACATTTTATTCCAGTAAATAACAGAGTTATATTGTTTTTAACTGCTTTTTTTCTTTCAAATTAGTGTTGATTTAATGTTACTGAACATGTAGTGTTGTCACACTATATGGGGTAAGTTGTCACAACTGAAACTTGCTTTACAGTGATACACTTCTGAAACACAAATGTCATCCAGTGTTTAAAAAAAAAACTTTCACATTTTGATGAAATCTCAATAAAACAAAAAATGCATAAACTTTATTATGATTTTAATAACTTTACTAGATTATTACTAACAGATAAGTCAAGGCAAGAGAAAATGGCAGCAGAATAAATTTCTGTCATGTGATCACCTAATTGGTCAGATGCTTGAGCTTGTGTGAAGAATTAGTCCAACTGACCTGTAATAGCCTTCTTTTCATCCTATATTCACTTTAAGCTCAAATGAATAGATCATTGATATAATAAACACCCATTAAAGTATAGAGATCCAAAACTGCAGACATTAAGAATAAATAAATGTATAATAGGAAATATATAAATAAAAGTGGACATAAATAATTAAATGAATGTGGGGAAAAATGAATACATTTTTGTGAGAATAAATGTAATAATAGGAAAATACATAAAGACATCTAAAATGTGAAATATATAAATAAATACATGTTTGAACAGTAGATAAACAAATAAGTAAATGTGAGTATAAATAATTGTAATAATAGGAAAATACATAAAGAAATATATAAAAGTGGAAATAAATAAATACATGTGGGAAAAATAAATAAATGAATAAACAAATAAATAAATTGATGTGAAAATAAACAATATAATAAATAATAAATGTAATAATAGGAAAATACGTAAAGACATATATACACGTAGAAATAAATATATGTGGGGAAAATAAATATTTAATGTATTTTCCTATTATTACATTTATTTATTTATTCTGTCATTCATTTATTCATTTGTTTATTCATACAAATGAATAAATGAATGTGAGAATAAATAAATAAATGTAATAATAGGAAAATACATAATGAAATACAAAAAAGTGGAAATAAGTACATGTGGGAAAAAAAATGTATAAATAAATACATAATTTGATATAATAAATATATGTGGGAAAAATAAAATGAATGTATAAATATGTAAATACATGAAAAAAACAGTAAATATAAATACAGAAAATAATAAATAAAGGAAATAGTAATACACAAATTAATTTAATTGAAAGTCATTTCTTTCTTTCTTTCTTTCTTTCTTTCTTTCTTTCTTTCTTTCTTTCTTTCTTTCTTTCTTTCTTTCTTTCTTTCCCTGTTATTTATTTATTGTTAATTTCTGCAGATTTGTGGGTCAATAATACCTGCGTTGCCATTACAGATTTGCGCAAAACTTGTGCGATATTTTTTTAAATGTCGATAACGAACTATTGCGCAATGTGTGTTGCTTCTGTTGCTCATGCAGAGGCAGGAGGACCTCCAGGAGGCGCGTGAAGGCGGAGTTTATATGAGGAGGAGATCTTGATTCAGAACATCAGTTCGCACGCGATCAGTCGTTTGAGTCGAGTCGAGTCAGTGAATCAACAGCCATGGCTCCGGTATCAGTCAAACGCGTTTTAATCAGTGAAAGTGTTGATCCATGCTGCAAAACTATTCTGCAAGAGAATGGCATCGAAGTGACGGAGAAGCAGCAGATGACTAAAGAGGAGTTGATAGCAGAGATTCAGGTAAGTGATTCTGAAGTTGTGCAGCAACTTCCCTGGAATATCAAGTGGCTTGATTTGAATCGCTGCCAAGCTAATGGCGTCTTCCAATGCAGCAGCAGTACAAATGTGATATAAAATATTAGCATGTGAATGCGTGACTGTTGGATGTGCTAGCTAAAGTGTGTGTGTGACTGTCACCCCTCCTCCTCCTCTACAAGAGTCTGATGCAACAGCAGCCTGTATCTGCACCATATGATTCACAACTTTATTAGACATCAAACAATCAATCATGAGCCTTTCCCAGTGCAGTATGCTTAATGCAAGTGTGTTTTGCTCTCTGCATGCGTTTATCATTTGCATTATCACCAATGATTCTGTCATTGCAGCACGCCAGGTATTTTACAGATTCTGTAAAGTTTTTCAAAAAGAAAAAAAAATCTTTATGATGTCAATATAGGCTACTATAATATAAAAATAATAATAAATAAATAAAAGTAGTACAAATTGAAATTGCATGTTGACTTGCATGTCGTTCTTATAAAGGTTTGGGATAAACTTAATAATACCTTGTTTTACATGCCAATTTTGTTTACATGTCTTACAATCTTTTCCCCCAAGAATTATGATGGTTTAGTCGTCCGATCAGCAACCAAAGTTACTGCTGATGTCATCAATGCTGGCAGTAACTTGAAGATCATTGGCCGGGCCGGAACTGGAGTTGACAACGTGGATGTGGATGCAGCGACCAAGAGAGGAATCATTGTCATGAAGTAATGAAGCATGTTGAGTCTTGCTCTGACCTCTATTCTCTGTGTTTTCATTGCTAAAGCAGGTTGCTCTAGTTGTGCACTCCTCTTTATTCTGTTGTTAAAGGAATAGTCTGCACCAAAAATACAATCATCATCATTTATTGACTCTCATGTTATTTTAAAGGGTTAGTTCACCCAAAAATGAAAATTATGTAATTAATGACTCACCCTCATGTCGTTCCAAGCCCGTAAGACCTCCGTTCATCTTCGGGACACAGTTTAAGATATTTTAGATTTAGTCCGAGAGCTTTCTGTCCCTCCATTGAAAATGTGTGTACGGTATACTGTCCTTGTCCAGAAAGGAAATAAAGACATCATCAAAGTAGTCCATGTGACATCAGTGGGTTAGTTAGAATGTTTTGAAGCATCGAAAATACATTTTGGTCCAAAAATAAATAACACAAACTACGACTTTTTTTGCCCAGCCATATTTATTTGAACCCGAATACACGGACGCACCAGACACACGTCAGCAGCGTCACTGAAGCGGTCACTGAATAAAGTCGTAGTTTTTGTTATTTTTGGACCTAAATGTATTTTCGATGCTTCAAAACATTCTAACTAACCCACTGATGTCACATGGACTATGAATGTCTTTATTTCTTTCTGGACAAGGACAGTATACCGTACATACATTTTCAATGGAGGGACAGAAAGCTCTCGGACTAAATCTAAAATATCTTAAACTGTGTTCCGAAGATGAACGGAGGTCTTACGGGCTTGGGACGACATGAGGGTGAGTCATTAATGACATAATTTTCATTTTTGGGTGAACTAACCCTTTAACTCTGTATCATATATTATTTTTCTCATCACACACGCATCTTAGGAGGTGCTAAAAAGAATGGCTAAGAATTCCTTTCCTAAAAGTTTTTTTTAATGCTGTTTTTTAACTTATCTATTTTATTAGTGAAGAAGGTGATAGCAGAAAGATATATATATTTTTTATTTGTATATTTTTAGCACTCCGAGTGGAAACACAATCAGTGCTGCTGAGCTCACCTGTGCTCTTTTGATGAGCTTGTCAAGGTAAACTGGCAAAATTATTCTTTAATAAATTAAAAAAATTCGTTTTTTTTAAAGGGTTCATTCATATCATGTTTTGAGATAAATAATTAATTGTGTTATGAAATTATTGTAAAATTCAGAACTCTGAAGTCACTGATGTCTGATGGTTGGTCTGAAATAGGGAAGAAAATGGTCAAACAATAAATTAATAAACTAAATTTTGTCTGCTTTGGACTGTAGAAAAAAATGTAAACATGATATTATCCCTTTAAGTTTGTTAAATTGAGCTTTCACAATCATTAAGTTATGTTCTGTTCCTATTAAACACCTTATTAAAAAATTCAAATAATATATTTATTATTATTTTATGCATTTCTTAGACATATTCCCCAGGCTGTCATGTCAATGAAGGATGGAAAATGGGATCGTAAAAAGGTATGCACACTTTTTGTCCTGTGTTTGTGTGGCTGTTGGCAATCACAGATGGAATATGTTCAGGGCATTGCATTATGGGCAGTGGTGGAGGAAGTACTGAATCTCAGTACTTAAGTAAAAGTACAAATAACCAGAGACATATTTACTTTAGTGAAAGTAGAAGTACCACAATGACAACCCTACTTAAGTAAAAAGTACCTGATTTTAAATGTACTTTAAGTATTAAAAGTAAAAGTACTTGCATAACAATTTATTCTCTTAATGTCTATATTCTAATGATTAATAAAACAGTTAATCCTAACTCATTCAACCTAATAATCCTATAATGATGTTCAATAATGATGGAAAAGCCGTTATTTTTTAAGTTTTTGTCACCATTTCTGAACAAGCTTGCAATTAGGCAATATACACTTCAAGCTTAGTTTGACGGGGTTTGGGTGTAAACGCGATTAATTTATGGCGTAATTCTGAACCTCTTGGCTTGCCATACTAATCCTAACCAAACGTATAATAGGCTACACTCGCACCCCACACCACTACTAAACCTACCCATGCGTATCATATGCACGTAAAAACAAATTTCCGCGTATAAATTGCACGATAAACACACTGCGTGCTATAGAGACGCATTTAGTGTGACCGGGTTGATATATCTATGGCAACCAAACTTCA